GAGAGAGTCTGGTCATGTGGAGCGATGAAAGACTGGACATTTAATGATCACATTAAGAACTTTATGGGATGACTATTTCTACAGAAACTAGATGATTGTTCTGTCGTCTTCACTCAGTCTACCTCTTACCGCTGACCCCGAGGATACACCTCATTGTGTAAAAAGGTTTGGTGGTCATCTCTCATAAAAAGGGTGACTGTTGAAGGTTCCTCCTCGAGTTCGATCAGAGCTGATAAAAAACAGCTTATTATTCTGCACTGGACTTAAAAGCTGAGGAGTTTTAATGACGAGAAATCTCTTCTAAAAAAATTGTATTCATCTTTTGTTGAGTTCCTGAATTGATTCTGTAATAACCTTGATGTTGTTGTCAATGAGCCGTGACCCCGATGACCTCTCCAGTATAAGTAAAGGTTGAATGAATGAATGGTTAGAATGAGTTATTTCCTGCAGTCTGCACCGGGGTCAGATCACTACTCCTGGACTAAAAGAAGTCCCACTCCTAACCCGACTGCTTCCCACTCCAGCATTGGTCCTAACTAAGCTTTAGGAGGCTCTTGTTGTTGGGAGTGTGTTACTCTTAGATCCTGTTACTAGTCTTAATGCTAAGCTAAGCGAAGCTAAGCTAAGCTATCTTGTGGGTGGCTCAGGCTTCATTAGTAACTTTCATTTGGTGCAGAGTAAACAGATGATAACAAAACACCGACCTGCAGCGCTGGCATGTCTGCTCAGCGCAGTCGGTCTCTTCAGTGTTGCCACGGGCGACGGGCAGGCCACCCCTTGCATCGCAGCCAGCTTACCGTGCTGGGTGCTGGGGGTACCCGGGCAGGACACAGAGGGGTCCGGGGCCCCAGCGGTGGTCGGGGTGAGAATTGAACAGGGAGAGGGAAAGGGTTGAGGCGAGGAGAGAGTGATGTCGCCTGCATCTTTCCGAGGCTGCTCCTGGAGGATGGAGAGCTGAGAGAGGAGAGAGACAACAGGTCAGACCATCAGGTGATCCTTTTTTTACTTTCAGCTTGGCATGAGGACGCCATCTGACCGTCTCTGTGGCATTACACCCAATGCAGCAACTGTTGGTAAACACACATGAAGACTTTCACAAGATCCTGTGGAGCGTTGAGCAACACTTCCTGACTCCAAGCTGCTGTCGGGCGTGGCAAACAGAGCAGGGTGTAGAAAGACACAAATGACATTCACAGTTTTGGAATAAGAACTGATGTTTTAGAGGCGAAAGTTAACATATCATCTGCAAACAAACTGACACAACTCACAGGAAAGTGTTCCTCTTAGTGTGGTTTTCTCACACGTAGTGTAGTAAAACACTCCAGTTAGTGCTGCAAAATCTTGGGGGCCTACAGGGTTAACCCTGGTAAGGCCCAGATGCCCTGATCACTGCATAAGAACATGACACAGGCCTATCCACACTGTCACATACCTGCGTCAGCCATACGTTGTGCTTGTTGGGCAGAATGTCCAGTTTGTCCTTGCCTTTAGAGTCCCCTTTCTTTACCCTCTGACTCGTAGCATAAGGGTTGTAGCTGCTTTTAGCGACGCGTTTCAGCATGCTCCTTTAGTCTACTGCTCTTTCCCCATCAGAAATGTACTTTTCAAACTGCTTTTGAAAGCTCAATCACACTCAAACTGGAGCCTGTCACACTCACGCTGGAGCCTGTCACACTGGAGCCCGTCACTGCTTCAGGAGAAGACGCAGAGGATAAACCTGGTCTAAGTCCTTGAGCAGTCAGTCGACATGAAGCTCTGTGACGTGTTCACCATTATCAAAGTTTCAAATCATACAGTCACAGTCTGCAGGTCAAAAGTCACAAGGCATTAAAAAGAATTAACTCAACTGAAGTCACATCTATTGTTCTGAGAAGTCTCCTCTCACACACAATCACCCTTTGTGCAGCCTGTCCCCTCCAGCTGAAGACACACACACACACACACACACACACACACACACACACACACACACACACACACACACACACACACACACACACACACACACACACACACACACACACACACACAACTCACTGCGGACGGCGCGCTCTGCGGCCCGGGGCTTCCTGCACGGCTCTTCTTCGAGATGGATGGCGTTTTGATCAGTTCCCGTTTCTTCCTCGTGAACATTTTCAGGGTGCCTTTGCCGTCCATCTTGACCTCCTCTTTAAGTTTCTCGTAAAGCCCCCCCACCCACCCCCCGACTCGCCACTTGGGTGCTCTGCCGCTCAGCGGGTGCTTGGTGCCATGCAGGCCAACCTTCAGCCACGATAACTGTGCGTGTGTGTTCCTCCTCCTCCCGCTGTCACACATCGAGCCGCGCAGCCTCACTGACAGAGAGACATACACCGCAAACTGTGTGCGCACTCCTGCATCCGCTCTGTGTGTGACTTCAGTTTCCTCAGGGGAGGGGGGGGGGGGGGGATACAAACCGGTGAACCGAATGACTCTTTAACCACGTTTCAGAGGAACTGCTGCGTTTAAAATGTACTCATGGAACAACATCTTTGTCCAAACTTAAACTGACGTGAAATGACAAGAAGCCCAAGTGCACCGTGACGCGCACACACACGAACACACACAACTGTTTCAGCCTCGTTCAGACCCTCCACACTAATCAGTTCATCCTAAAACACGTGTGACCAGCAACATGTGACCACCTGACGTTTCACTCTAACCCTCCGCCTCCTCATGCAGCAACCTGCTCTCACAATTTGTTTATTTATTTGTTTGTTTGTGAAGAAGCAATGCAATAGATCAACACCTTAAAAAACTTTCTCAGGTAAAGAGAGGAGGACTTGATGAATTAGAATCCAGAGGAGGGCTTATAATAAACCAAATCACTAAGTTTAACTCACAATAACACAAAGATAACAAACATTAAATCATTAAATCATGTTTCTCACTCTGAACAAAAACAGCAGAATGAACTGTGAGTTTATTGAAATGCCATGGAGAGAGTCGGTACTAAAGAGAGACTCTTAATGAAACTAGAAACGTCTGGAAGTTCACTCCAGTGTGGAGAAGTGGAGGAACCTGATGGGCAAAGTGAAAGTGATGGAGCAGGGAACAGATGAAATCAGAGCCACATGTTGTGGACTCTGTGGCGATTCAGGAGTCTGTTTGGGCCCCTCCAACCGGCCTTCATCACCATCATGTCTGCCACTGTCCCGATGCTTACTCCTCTTCATTCTGTTTCTTTTGCTCTCCTGTAGACAGATCATTCCTCTTCATTTGTCTTTGTTGACTTTTTGGTTTTCACAGCAATAATTCATGCAACGCTCAGAAGGGCAACATGAGTGAGTGCTGTCTGATGGGGCCCCCTTAGGGAGGTTTCCTGCTGTTGCAAAATTTGCTTAAAATTTGGTCAGGGGTCCCCTACTGGTCAGGGGCGTAGCGCCTCTGTGTGGAATACGGATGATGCACCACAGCTTTATTAAAACATCGAGAGGAGTCAACAAACAAACATGGGGTGTGTCATTTGTATGTTTTTGTTTTTTGCTTCGTTAACAGTTATTGAATGTTTTTTAATCAGCTTCTCAATAAATCATGTTTTTCATGGATGATATTAAATGTGACTGTTATTGTGACTGTTTACATCATTTTGTTACTATACTGCCCCCATGTTTTTCTTTGTCCTGTTTGCTCATTCACTTATTTTGTCCCTCTTTCTAATTCATTCATTTTATTTACTGACCCTTTTCCTTTTGTTTTGTTTTGTTTGTTTGTGTCTAAATCTGCTTGCAAAACTGTATCGTATCATAGTTCCCCTCTTTGTTTGTATCTTTTTTTTGATTGTGTGAGTGTGTGTATTCACGTTTTGGTGAATAAAAGTTTAAAAAAATAATAATGTGACTGTTATTATAACCTGTTTACTTCCTGTCTACTTCTCCTGTGTTATTGGAGCCAGTTGCAGCAGCTGGAGATTAACTATTAGCAGAAGGCATTTCCTTGTATTTTATTTTTATTTATTATTATTGTATTCTTCGAGTCACTTTGACAGATAACTGAGAGCTGGAGCTGAGGCGGGTTTTAAACCTCCTGATTGAACCCTGACCTTCCGGTTCTGGTTTCTCTTCCAGATTAGACGCGAGTGACTCAACAAACTGAGCCATAGCCGCCCCAAAATGATCCTGCTGCTTCTGGAAGAATGTTATTACCTTCCATAACCTGCTTTAAGATTACATGTCCAACTGTCCAACTATCCATTATCTACACCGCTTTACCCGTTCAGGGTCACGTGGGCCTGGAGCTGATCCCAGCTGTCATCGGACGAGAGGTGGGGTTACACCCTGGACTGTTCACCAGCCAATCACAGGGCTGACATTTAGAGACAGACAATCAGCCACTCTCACATTCACACCTACAGACAATTTAGAGTCTCCAGTTAACCTAACCAGCATGTCTTTGGACTGTGGGAGGAAGACGGAGTACCAGGAGAGAACCCACACATGGAGAACATGTAGACTCCTCACAGAGAGACTCCTGAAGGACAGGGAATCAAACCAGGAACCTCCACACAGAGAGACTCCTGAAGGACAGGGATTCAAACCAGGAACCTCCTCACAGAGAGACTCCTGTCAGACGGGGATTCAAACCAGGAACCTCCACACAGAGAGACTCCTTAAGGACAGGGAATCAAACCAGGAACCTCCACACAGAGAGACTCCTTAAGGACAGGGAATCAAACCAGGAACCTCCACACAGAGAGACTCCTTAAGGACAGGGAATCAAACCAGGAACCTCCTCACAGAGAGACTCCTTAAGGACAGGGAATCAAACCAGGAACCTCCTCACAGAGAGACTCCTGTCAGACGGGTATTCAAACCAGGAACCTCCACACTGTGAGGGGACAGAGCTAACCACTGCACCAGCGTACAGCCCAGCTGGTGTTCGGGAGAGGAACAAGTCATATTTTGGTGATCAGCTGAAGGGTGCATTTAATTCTTTGTATGTAAATTTAAAAGCAGTTTATCATTTGATGAAACAAACTCGTGTTTTAAATCATGAAAAGTGTTTAATGTTAAAAAAGAAGTCAAAGGCGTATCCACATGTTTATTCTTGTTCCTGCATAATTCCTCTTAAAATGACTTTCTAATAAACCTGTTTTTGTGTCGTAGCGTTAACAAAGATTAGATCTTAATAAAAACTAGAAAAGGTTATCAGGCACTTTGATCGGAGCGTTCGTTTTAAACACTTTCTCTGTTAAAGATGTGCAGCAACAATCTTTCTGACTCCAGACAATCCGTTTGTACAAAAAGAGTTTCTTTGAGGAGTGAAATGCTTCTCGTGTCCTTTGTGTTTCACTCCACTCCAGCTTTGATCTCTGAACTCTAAAGCTCTGTAGCGGGGCCCCATTCGACATCCTCCGCCTCGTCCTCGTCCTCGTCCTCCTCCGAGCTGTCGCTGCCTTGGATCTGTAAGCGTCTGAACTGGACCGCCTGGTGATGGTGTGCCAGCCTGTAGGACAGTGAAACAGAAAAGCTCTTAGCTCTCGGCCTGCTTTGAGTCAAGACGTCCCAAAAAAAGCCAAAGACAACAAAAAGTATACTCACACAATAAACTGTGGACCCTTCCTCTCTTCAGCTTTAGCCTGAGGCTCTGCAGAGCGAGCCTGCAACAGACGACAAGACGGGTCAGAGACCAGAACCTGTTAGATTCTGTTTCTCAGGGTTCTCATCAAGTTATTCCATTCCAGTATGTGGAATGACCTTCAGAGGATAGCTAAGTTGCCCTCTCTTGTTTCATACAGCGGTTTTAAAGATCTTGTGTCCAAACTACCTCAGGAAGGAAATTGTAACTGTTTCACAATGTGAATTCATTTAAATGGACATGGTTTACATGTATGAATATGTATTTTAGTGTCTAGATGCTATTATTGTTAACTGTTAATATATTTAAATTTGTGCTGTTTCTATTTTTGTATTGCTGCAGGGCACCCCTGGAAAAGAGACCTCGGTCTCAGTGGGTCCTCCCTGCTAAAATAAAGGATAAAAAAATAAAATTAATTAAGTTTCACTAACTAGTTATAATCAGGGGCGGAGCCAGACTTTCTTTAACTGGGGGGCTGAGCCAGGCCACCCACTTCTGAAGGGATGTAATGTCATTAATTATCTCCTTTATTCCTCCTCTTCAACATGTTACCTTACCTCCTGTGTTTCCTCATTATGGCGGGGGTCAGGGCTCAGACATATATTTGTGTGTACGTTAAGCTCTTTGTGTCTGACTGATAGATTGATGACAGAAAGTTTCATTCACCTGTTGTAGTCTCTCCTCGATGGCAGACAGGCTGGCGAGTTGTGGGCTCTCCGGCTGAACCTCGGCAGGACAGGAAGGCTGGTTCACAGAGTACCGGGTGGTGGGGTCGGGGGCGATAAAATCAGGGGGTCCGTCTGATGGAGTGTTGGGTTGAATCACATCAAGCGTGCTGAAATCTGAGTCTGTGAAACTGCGAATAGTTGGTTCCTCTTCCTCCTCAGCAGAGCTGGGGTTCTCTGGGCGGGGTGATCGGGGCTCAGGTACGTGCAGCAGCGGGGGGATCTCTCTGAGGGAGTAGGTGTCCGCCTGGGGCTCGGTGTCCCCGTAGAAAGGCTCAGACGAGCGGGCCAGAGCGGTTCCGGCTGGTCTGGAGTCTCTGGAGGCGTTCTGTCCGGGGTAGGCCTCCTCCAGGTCCTCGTTGTCGGTGTAGGCCTCTCCATCGGTGAACGCCTCTCCATCAGTGTCCTCCAGGTCGCTGGCCGCACTCAGGTAGTCCGACTGGGTTTGATCGAAAGCATCCAAGTCCTGCTCCCCACCACTCTCCAGCTGGACAGGAAGAGAGAACACATTTCATCACTGCTCTGCTGCAGCCGCACAGATACAGAGGGGGGTGCTAACCCTTTTTTTTTCATTTTTTCTAAGATTTATTTTTGGGCTTTTTGTGCCTTTAATGGAGAGATAGAACATTGTTGGAAATCAGGGAGAGAGAGAGTGGGGAATGACATGCAGGAAAGGAGCCACATGTTGGATTCGAACCTGGGCAGCCCGCTTGGAGCACTACAGCCTCCATGAATGGGGCACGTGCACTAACCACTGCACCACCAGTGCCCCAACTCTTTGAAACATCTGATATATCAAAAGATAAATCTGCATCAAACATCCATTCTGGTTTTGAAAGTTTCCTCTAAGTTAACAGATTCTTTATATCATAAAACGACTCGACCCTGTTGAAGGTAAAGTCTTGAATGTGTAACTCTCACAAAACGTCATATTCTCTGTAGAATACGATGAATAGCAGAAAACTGATATTCTGAGTCTGAGCGTCATGTGTGAACACAAACATCTGAATGTTTCTCTCTCCACCCGGAGTTTTTCCTCCAGCCTCCTCATATTTATTCTGCAGAAAGTCAGAGTGATCTGATGTGAGAACACAGCAGGATATAATCAGGAGAATTCACCTGGAGCCAGTGGGAGGGGGTGGTGACCTTTATTCCCTGTGATCACTGCATGACCATAGACTGTCTGCACACTACCTCTACCATCTCTGTGCTCTAATGAACCTCCTGCTGCATGTTTCCTGTTCTCCAGTATGTTCTTCTCCACTCTTTAGTTTACATTGAGATTCTCTTCAACTACACATAGCATTGATACAAACACACATATTCTCATTATAGCGTTGTGCAGTGGAGCAGTGGTTCTCAACTGGTGGGGTCAGGACCCAAAAGTGGGTTGTGAATGTTTGCTTGGAAGAAAAATGCTGCGCAAAAGTCTATGAAGCCCTTTTTTTTTAAAAACAATTTTGTTTCATTCTTTCATTGTTTGATCTATCACGCTTTGAGGTCCAAACTGCACAATGTTTCTTTAAATAAATCTTATTGATAAATCTCCCAAATTTGGGTCGCAATTTTTCATGACGGAGTAGTTGGTGGGTCCTGAGGCACGACCAGTTGAGAACTACTGGTATAAAGGGCTCTGTTGTTTAGTCTTGTTGTTGTTTTTACATCACTTTTTGCCTCAGAAGACCCCCCCCCCCCCCTCTCGTCTGACAGTATCCTGCTGTGAGGTGCATGTGTGAACAATAAAATCATGTTCAGTGTGCAGATGTGAGAACGGATTTAGTCGCAACAGAAGGTGTGTGTGTGTGTGTCTTCATACCTTGACTTCAGACACCCAGACGGGTTTGGACTGCTGGTGGCGGATCTTATCTTTCAGGCTCTCGTACCAGGCACTGGAGCCGGGCTGCAGGTCAATCCGTGCTGGAGCGGAGGGAGGAACAGGACAGTTTCAGACAAACGGAAGCTAAACACTGACTCACTAAAGTCTCTGTTATTTCCTCTGATGGGGGGCGGACTGTGCGTACCTGAGAAGAGGTGGCTGTAGTGTTTCTTCAGCTTCATGGCCTGTGAGTAAAGGCGTCTGGAGCTCTTGTTGGAGTCGGGGCTGTACCTCTGCCTCATGGCTTTGACATCCTTGCGGCTGTGAGGGTCCAAGAACAGCACCATTGGGTGATACTGGATGTAGTTCAGCCTCTCCACTGCTGTGGGCGTGATGTCCAGCAGAGGGTGCTTGTCCTGTTCAAAGGAGAGAAGCAAACGAGGATCACGACCACGTTGATGAATAAAGCTGTTTCATTTTCATCTTCTTCTAATAACAGAAAACTCTCTCACCTTCTCAGCTATCCTCCTCACAGTGTCCAGTTTGATCACCGTGGAGCCGCTGTCTCCACTCCCACTGCGAGGAACCATGTCTGCAAAAAGACGACGATGTTTCATGAGAGCAGCAGGTAGAGAAGAGTGTTGTACTTGTGGTGACTATTTTTAAAACAAACCCTGTATTGTCCAAAGCAGTCACCACTGAGATGTGAGCTGTGGAACTATTTCCAGACATGTGCTCCTGGCGTTGCAACAAACAAATGTCTGATACTCTTTTCCAATAGAGTCTTCAATCTGTTTATTATAGTTATAGGGGTTCAATAATGCACATTCATGTCTCATTCTGTCCAATACATCATAAAGCATCAACTGTTACATTCAAGTCAACCTGACACAAAAAAGTATAAGCTTCCAAACACACACCTGAATCCAATTACCTGGAGTCTTGGCTTTATGCACAGCACAAGTCAAGACTCCACCTAGTGTTCAGAGTTGGAATTACACTCAAAATACAATTTCACAGTGTTGTGTTAGGTTTCTTACAAGGATCAAATAAAAACAAGTATTTTGGCTCCTACAGTACTAAAATGATAGCTACATTTTTTTATGTTTTACTTCTGACCCCAAATAAGAAACGGTCAAAAAGAGGGGCGCCTAGTGGTTAGTGTGCCCGCCCCATGTAAGGAGGCTGTGGTCCTCCAGGAGGGGCAGCCCGGGTTTGGATCCAACCTGGGGCTCCTTCCCAGGAAGTCACCCCCCCCCCCTCCTCTCTCTCCCACAGTCTGACTCTATCCACAAAGAGAAACTCACCTGCTGCTTCATATTCATTGGGCATCTCTCTGGCCAGCTTCTCCATGGCGATGTCATTGAGAGGACCCATGATGACGATGGGCCGTTTGAAGTTAGCTGAAGACAGAAACCATCGAGGGATATTTAACTTTGCTCAACATGAGTAGGGACATACTTCTTTATGATTTGAGTGTGAAGACCAAACCTTCTCTGAGCAGGACTCTCTCGTAGGCGGGGAATTTGCCCTGGATGGTGAGCTGCAGCAGGTCGTCACGAGAGCGACGGTTGTTCTTGTCGTTCTTTTTGTTCCCTCTGAGCCCGCGTAGTTTCCAGAACTCCGCCCTCGGCCCCGACACTTGCCTCTCGCCGCTCACCCGCTGCGACTGCTCTATGCTGGCGAAGGTCTCCGCTCTGCCGGAGATCATGAATGATACAGAGAGTGAATGTTAGCTTTGATTTAAACAGGAAATCTACACGTGTTTCCCCCCTGCTCCTCACCTGGGCTGGTTTGGAATGGTGCCTTTATCCATCTCGTGCAGGTCGTGTCCCATGCGGACTGCCAGCCAGTTTCCCAGCTTCCCGCGGTGCATGGTGTCCACCACCCTGAACACCTGCCCTCGGGTGAAGCTCAGACCAATAGGGCTATCCGCCTCGTGGTCAAAGTGGGCGCGGATGTAGAAGTTGTCACCCAAGTTGGACTTCAAAATCTTCTTATAAACTGAAAAGGAAGACAGATGTGTTCAGCTCTCCTCATCAGCCCTCTTTAGACTTCATCCATTCATACACTGATGGTAGAGGCTGCTGAGTAAAGAGTCCATCAGTATTAACTCATCCATTCATACACATTCACACACTGATGGTAGAGGCTGCTGAGTAAAGAGTCCATCAGTATTAACTCATCCATTCATACACATTCACACACCAATGGTAGAGGCTGCTGTTTAAAGAGTCCTTGGGATTAAGTGTCTTGCCCAAGGACACATCGGACATGTGGCTGCAGAGACGACCGACTCTACCACCTGAGCCACAGCCACCTCAGGGCTGAGGTAAGTGAAGAGAGCTACTGTCATCATGAGAGCTTTAACGGTGAAACTTACTGTCCATCTTGTGCTGAGTGCAGATTTCAACCTGCTCTCCTTTCTTGACGTTCAGGAGGAAGTTGGCCGCCTCTTCTCTCGTGAAATGACCAAAATCCACTTTATTTACCTGAAAAAAAAAAAAAGATCTAACTTTACTGCAAGCAGGTTAAAAGACAGGAGACGTTCACATATCATTCATAAAACGGGCCGGCAGTAGCTCTCAGTCTGCAGGGTCTTGGGACATGCTGACATCTGTACTGAAGCAGTAAAAGGAGTCTCGGGAGGATTGGACCTCCTTAACTTGACTGTGCAGTCTACAGAGGAGCCCTGTGGTCTCACCTGCATGATCTGGTCTCCCTCTTTCATTCCCTCCTCATAGGCGGGGCTGTTTGGCTGAACTCCACCGACGAATATACCCACATCGTTTCCCCCCACGAGCCGCAGCCCCACACTGCCCTCCTTCACAAATGACACAGTGTGAAGGTCCGAGCTGTAGCTAAGAAGGAGATGTGTACAATGAAATGAGCAGTGCATTCATTCCAGGAGATTTAAATGAAGCAGATCAAAGATGAACATGCATGAATTTAAATGATCGGACTCACCCAGGGTTAGGAGACGGGTATGAGTCTGGAGGCAGGGAGTAGATGGGCTCTTCAGCAGGCTTGGCTGGAAGAGAAATTTTAAAAAGTGAGACTCCCTGATGGTGCTACTTCTCCACCAATCAGATTTAGTCTCAAAATGTGAACATGATTCACTAGAGGTCTAAGTTCTGACTTAAGAAAGTGACTTTTGTCATGTGCAAACCTGTAACCAGCATGAGTTTTATATTTTTGCTTGACAGAAAATGTGTTTTAAAGTCAGTGAGATGTGTAGAGAGTGAAATGATAAAGGTATCTTACTATATGATCAGACATTAAAGAAACATGCTATGTTGAAGTGCTGGCTTCTCTGACAACAATGCAGCAGTCAGTATGTCCTCCTTCTAACTTTAGATTCTGCTCCTGAATGCTCTGGATTTGTTTGGACCAGAGAAGGTAGACGGGGGGGAGAAAGCTCTCTACAATGTTTAGAATTTGGACTGCAGTACCCATTTTAAACACTAGGTGCCAGAGGTATAGTACTCCTTTAAAGTCTATAAAAATGATTGAACCATCATCTGTTATCAGTTTTTTGAGTTTTGAGTCTTACAGTAGGCTGGCAGCTTGCTCTTCCCTGAAATCCCGGACTTCAGGGTGCCGGTTCCATTTGCAGCGGGAGGAACTCTGCAAGAAGACATTAATATTATCAAACATTCATACATCAAACAGTACACAGCTCATGATAGTGTCCTAAATATGGTTTAAATAGGAAACACTTTAATGCATTAACAAAAAACACTGTTTTGATTCAAGTGGAGTGACTTATCAGCCATACCTGTGATGGCCACCGCCCCGCTCAGAGCTCCCCGACCTCCTGAGATGTGAAAGTTTGTCCGACTCCGAGGAATCTAAAAATCAGGAAACAGACGTCTGAGATTGTGGTCAGGACTGACTTTAGATGTCAGTGAGTGAGGAAGGGAGTGAGTAGGTGAGTCAATGAGCGAGGAAGTGAGTGAGTGAGTGAGTGAGTGAGTGAGGAAGGGAGTGAGTGAGTAAGGAAGGGAGTGAGTGAGGAAGGGAATGAGGAAGGGAGTGAGTGAGGAAGGGTGTGAGTGATTGAGTGAGTGAGTAAATGAGCGAGGAGGTGAGTGAGCTTATGAGTGACTAAGTGAGCGAGCTAGTTAGTGAGTGAGCGAGTGAGTGAGTGACTGACTAAGTGAGTGAGCTTATGAGTGACTGAGTGACTAAGTGAGCGAGCTAGTTAGTGAGTGAGCGAGTGAGTGACTGACTGACTAAGTGAGCGAGCTAGTGAGTGAGCGAGAGAGTGAGGGAGTGAACAAACCATCAGGAGGAGGTCTGCTGGGTGACAGGATTCGGCGAGGAGGTTCCTGCTTCAGAGTGATTGGCGTTGGTTTGATGACTGGCAGGACCCTGAGAGAGGCAGAAGGAATGTTTCATTTTTATTTTAAGACGCCATGTTCAAATATCCTGAGTAATTTCAAGGCATTTTTCTTTTTTTTTTGCAACTAATGTCAGTGTGTAGCTCCGCCCCATGGATGACCTCGGAGGAGCTGACCTCTACTGGACGTCCTCCATAGTTGCCCTTTCTTTATGCGTTCTTCTTTGTTGAATTTATTGGCGGGCTACACTGCTATGATTTCACTACTTTCCTTACTAAGTAAGGGGACGGCTGGCTGTGGGAACGAACACAAGATCAAGGTTTACTGTACCAAACCAAACCAAACCGAACAGAGCCAAACCATGGGGGCTTTACTGAGGTTACTATGAAAGGCAGGGTTGGTAATTTTCTAAAACTAGCATGATTTATGAAGTAGCATTCCCTCAGTGCTCCGTCTGCACCCCCTCCCCTCTGTGCTTCCTCTAAAGCACGTGCGCCATTGCTCCAGAAGTGGACCTCAGTTCATCTCTTACATTGTGTAGAAACTGCATCGTCTCATGTTTCATTCAGCTGTAAGTAAACTCACAGTATAACTCCATCATCAGTGACGCTCTTTGAGTGTGGGCTAGAGCACGCAAGAGGTAGAGAGCAAGCAGGGAGACAGGGAGGCGTCTGATTGGTTCATCAGATTGGTACCTCGTGGCAGACATTAGTCAAAGTTTTTACAGACTTACAACTGATACAGATGATGGATTTTCTTTGTTCCTTTTTCAGAGAACATGAGTTATAAAGACAATTTCAACCAAAATCTTAAAAAGTGGATCTGGAGGAAATGACCAACCCTGCCTTAAATAGACTCCTGGTTTAAAGTGAACCGTGTTAGAGGAGGGAACCACAGGCCTCTTAGCGCGCTGTGATGAAACTTCTTGAATATACAGCGATGTGTTTGGTGACAGCTGATTGAAAGAGCTGACGGCGTTTCTTACCTGACCCGTGTTTTAGCCTTGTTGGAGTCGGCGCTGTCAGTAGAACCCCTCCGAGGAACCGATGCATAACTTGCCTCGGATTCAGATTCTGAACGAGCTGCGAGGATTAAAAAAAAAACCCACAGAAGATGACATCATCAGAATGGAAAGTTCTCTAGTTCTAAGAAAAGTTATGAACGCATCACAAGATCACTCCAGCAAGTATTTATCCGGTATACCCGCTTAAAAAACACAGCTGAGGTGCAACTGAAACTTAATAATCTTTGTCATCTGACGATCCTTAAACTGGGTTTTTATGTGTATATGTTCTAAAATTTCTGTGAAGCACATTGGGCCTCCTGTGACCTTTACCTACATTTCTGTGGTGGGTCACTGGCTGGGATGCTGCGGCTGTTCCACCGCGGCTGCTCCTCCTGCAGGGAAACCTCCGGCAGGACCCTGCAAGAGACCAGAAGAGAGGGAGGCGGGAGTGAGGGAGGAGGAAGACAACAAATCTCAGTTACGTTTGGAGAGCGGGGACACGTGGCTAAAATGACCATTAATGTTGAATATTCACCTTTGTGTCTCTGAGGGAAGCTCTCTCTCTCTCTGTGATGCTTAACTGAGGCTCTCTTTGTAACTGATCAACAGTCAGTGTTTTTAGTTATCTAAGTAGTATCGGCGTCTGATTTTAAAGCTTGACTACAGATGTCTGATTGATTGGAAAGGTGTCGCTTTAATGAAACGTGTCCTCTGATTAATCAGCCACATACAGGAGAGGGACATGTTCAGTGAAAGTCACTTTTATTTCATCGGTTCACCACAAACACAACAATCACACAGTACACAGGGTGGAAAACATCAATCAGGCAAAAACAAAAACTACAAAAACGAGACTCACAAAAAAAAAAAAAAAATCATTAAAAATCATCAGAAAAACTCAATAAAGATTCAGAGGTCAATAAAAACATGCCATCAGCTCATACTGAAAAAGGGAGGGAGGCGTGCACAGTCTGCTCAGTGTCCCAGTCCGTGACCTCTCGCTGGGTTTCAGGGGAGAGGGGGGGTTGGGGGGGAGGTGGGGGAGGATGGGCGGAGCTTCATCTGTACCTGTATCTGCTGAGGGAGTCGTGACTGTACGTGGTGCTCTGCCTCTGAGGAGGCGCCAAACTGACCTCCGGCTCTGAATCAGAGTCTAAACACAAAGAGAGCATCATTAAAAACCAGCAGCAGCAGCAGCAGCAGCAGCAGCAGCAGCGTGAGAGTGGTCACTTCTCTGTTTGATGAGGAAGTGTTCAAATAAAAACAGAAAACACAGACGGAGTAAAGGGGACTGCTGGGGCTTAAATTGGGATGAGCTTCAATTCAAAGTGTTATGGTAATCTTAGAAAGACTGCTAAAAGTACAGATAACTAAACATTTTGACTCAAAATTCCTAAAAAAAAAGAAAAGAAAATTCTTTCATGTTTGCTTCTGGGCTAAATTTATGGGTTCACTTGAAGCCAACATTCAAACATGAAGTAAATATTGTCTCCGAAATGTGTCGGACGATCAGTTCTGCTCCATCCCAAATACAGTATGAGTGTTTGGTGGTCATGTGATGGTGTATGTCAGGCAGCGAGTACGAGTACTGACCCGGGGCTGGGATTCTCACAGGAGAGTTGACCCTCCTATATGGCTCGTTGCGGACATCGATGGAGGAGGCTCCCAGCACTGCAGGGGGCAGCTCAGAGAGCGCGCTGCGGAGACAAGATAAAGTTAGAATCATCTAAACTGTCAAAGTGTTAGAGGCGGAGTGAGAGTCGTCCTTACTTGTATCGGCTGTCAGGGCGCGGGCTCTGTCTGCGTGGTGGAGGGGAGGCGCTGCGGTCAGAGTCTGAGTCCGACACCGGCTTGCGAGGCCTTGAGGCGGAGGAAGAAGAGGGACGGGAGCCCGTCCACTTTTGGACTATAGGAGAGGAGCGAGGGTTGGGGACGGCGGACATGCCAGACAGACTTCTGGAGGAAGAACAAGAAGAAGAATTGAAAAACACACCGTCTTTACACTTCCACATTTACGCTGTGAGAATTCACTCAAGCGGTCTGGACATTCTGGGCTTTCTACTTCCTGTAGGACTACATGTCCACTTCCTGTAGGACTACATGTCCACTTCTGTAGGACTACATGTCGACTTCCTGTAGGACTACATGTCGACTTTCTGTAGGACTACATGTCCACTTCTTGTAGGACTACATCTCCACTTCCTGTAGGCCTATATGTTGACTTTCTGTAGGCCTACATGTCCACTTCTTGTAGGCCTACATGTCCACTTCTTGTAGGCCTACATGTCCACTTCTTGTAGGCCTACATGTCCACTTCTTGTAGGCCTACATGTCCACTTCTTGTACAATAAATCTGGGCTGATAGACGTCTATAAGTTTGGATTCTCTGTTAAATATCTCTTTATTTTGGATGTTTAAAACTTGACGTGGACGTCCTGTACGTGGTTATTACTGACTTGTATTTGTTGGAGTGATCTCTCATGTCCGGACTCGTTCTCCTGACAGGAGGAGGAGAGGCGCTGTGGTCCGACTCAGACTCTGATGGAGCTGCAGAAGCAACAAGAAGCACATTTTATTTTCACCTTCATCTTTTGCTTTTCAATCTCGCTACTCATTCACGCCGATACTGAAACATCCAATCTTTGCTCAGTGTTTGTTTTCCTTCTGAAAGGCTGCGTACTAACACTTTCAAACTGCTTCCATCATATCTATGAGAACACACAGTGGACAGGACTCACCTCTGCGGGAGGCGTAGCTTCTAGCAGGAGGACGAGTTAAGGTGGAGCGCACTGGTGACGCATCCCGCGACTTGGCCGGTGGAGGTTCAGCTCTCGTTCTGGATTTAAAAAAAGAAAGAGATGAAAGAGTGTTTCAGCACCTTTAATCTTCAAACTTCAGTTTTTTAGATGAGATAATTGCTTTAGGATAAATGTCTTTCCTTAAGAAGTCACAGGTGAATGTTGATACAACATTAATTTTATAATATCCATTCATCATCTTCCTCTTATCTGAGGTCAGGTTGTGATGGCAGCAGGTTTAGAAAGTCACCCCAGTTCTCCCTCTCCCCAGCTCCTCCTACAAACTTGGATATATATATAATCTCTCCAGTGAACTCTGGGTCTACCCCGGGGTCTCCTCCCAGTTGGGCGTGCCCAGAAATCCTCCAAAGGGAGGCGTCCATGAGGATCCTGATCAGATACCTGAACCACCTCAGCTGGATCCTTTGGATGGGAAGGAGCAGCGGTTCTACTCCGAGCTCCCCCTGAATATCTGACCTCCTCCCCCTCTCTCTAAGGCTGAGCCCCTCCCCCTCTCTCTAAGCCCAGACCCCCTCCAGAGGAAACTCATTTCAGCCGCTTGTATCTGCGATCTCATCTTTAGGTCACTACTCAAAGCTCATGACCCCAGGTGAGGGTCAGATCTTTAATAAAACCCCACAGACAACATCCAAAGATATCATTTTGAGTTCAACTTGATCTAAAGTCTTTCTCAGTGAGACAACAATCGGAGGACTCGGGGTTAGAAGAAGAAACTGTCATGTCAGTCGTGAAGCAGGTTTTGACCTTGGCGGTGGACTTGGATGAATCTCCACCTGAGTAAATAAACCAGACTACAAAAACAACAGCTACCCCGAGTCTCTGTTTCTAAAAGTCCTGCAGGTGTAGGTGTGTTTACCTGCGCGTCCGTTTTTCTCTGGTGGGATGGCGGGACACTCTGTGAGAGGGGACGTCGATGTCTGAAATATCTGGAACAGAAACAACATCAGTTAAAAAAACGTCCATTCATGTTTCCTCACATTTGTCTCGTCTCTCCCTCTCCTCACCCTCTAGTTCAGAGCTGCTGTCTCGGCGGTGGTCCTCCTCACTGTTGGGGGCGCTGTCCACCACCTCGGGGATGCTGACCAGGAACTTGCGGTCGTCCCTGAGGACTGTCATAGTCAGTTTGCCCCTGCTCTTCTCCACCAGGTGCTTGGTCTCCAGCAGGGACAGATTCTCTGTTGTCATGCCGTTGATCTGATCGTCGGTGATAAAAGAAAAGACTTATTATAAACTGCTAGTTTAAACAGAGGATTACATTCTACAGGATTTGAACCAATGAAACCTTTATTACCCCCTAGGGGAATTTGCCTTGCACAGAGAGCTTAAAAAAACAACAACACAATACAAACAAACACTTACGGGACAGCACATGAGAACACACTAAAGCGTCACATGATTTACTTCTGATAAGGACTTGTCTTTTTCACCTTCAGGATGAGGTCACCCTCCTGCAGCGTTCCTTCCTTTGCAGCCAGGCCTGTGTCTGTCATGTGCTTGATGAAGATCTGACTGCCGAGCTTCAATCCGTATTCTTCAGGAAGAAAGAAAACAACAAATCAGAAATCAGTTCTCAATCCAGTATGTCCTCCTTCTAACTTTAGATTCTGGTCCTGAATGCTCTGGATTTGTTTGGACCAGAGAAGGCAGGCAGTTTTAAGGCGACCCCCACACGGCCGTTTTGGACGCCCCTCGGTTTGTCAGATATGAGAGCAGTTATCAGGTCAAACCAAGAGAAGTGGTTCAGATAGAAGTGATTGTACCCGACCTAAAAAGCCTCTGCAGGTTTCTAATAAGCTCCACGAGCAGAAACGTGCTCAAACTAGGATCAATATTGGAGATGCTTTTGAAAAATGGAGAGAGGTTAGAACACAGAAAGGTTTACAGACCCATGCAGAGCTGGATAAACACTGAAGCTTCAGAGTCCACCACATGGTGACCTGTGTGAGCATCCACTCTACAGGGGGGGGGGGGGGGAGGGGACAGCTCTCTACAATGTTTAGAATGTAAGACTGCAGTACCCATTTTAAACACTAGAGGGAGTTGCTCATTTAAAGGTTAGGTTTCCTTTCTTTACTCCCTGAAGTCTTACCGTCTGTGATTTTCTTTTTCAGGAGCGTTGTTCTGATTGGTTTGTCGGGAACGTCCTGGTACGGCAGCCTCTTGTACCCCGATGACATCAGCGGTAGGGTTCCATAACCGTTACGGTTTGGGGAGGCGCTGCCGGCGCGGTAGCGGCCGACTTCTCTGTTGTCGCTGCCATCAGAGTAGCGTCGCGTTCGTCTAGGGGGGTCCTGGTCCAGCAGGTTGGAATGGGAGGCGGCTCTAGATGGTCTGGAGGTTGCTGGGATCTGGATCTTGCGGGGGCGTTTCACCGTCTGGAGAAAGTCAGGAGGTGAAGGTGAGAGATTTAGAAACAGAAGACATGCATCAAAGATCATCTTCGGTTAGTGCTTCCTCCATACTCACGATGTTTGCCGTCTTGCCACATGACTTCAGGGTCTGAATGGTGAAGTTAGAGTGGACGCTCTCCATCGACACGCCGTTCACCATCACGATCTGGTCTTTGTGGCTGTAAGAGCAAAGGTTTAGAGAAAGTTCATGAACAGATCACTGTGTGCTCATGGTGTCTGAAGACTCATCAGAGGGATGTTAATCGACTCACAACAGGCGTCCGATGGCCGGTCCGTTTGGAAGCACATCCGACACCACCACCGTTGTATCGCCGTTGTCCGGGTGAGGCTTGTCTTTCCCCCCCGATATGGCAAAGCCGAACCCCACTTTTGAGTCCTGCCATTATGAGGAAGAAATACTTTTTTAGAAGAGATGCCAGACACTAAGATTTTTTTTCTCATAGCTCCTACATTACACCTTTTGTACATTTTGTGTTTTTTATATTTTACATTTTTAAATTCTATTTTATATATTGTAATATCTTCTTATACTGTATTATTTAAGTTGTTGCTAGTTCTGCTCTATTTCCTTAATTGTTAAGCACCAATACACCAAGTCAAATTCCTTTTATGTGTAAATAAACTGTGCAATAAATCCCAATTCTGATTCTGATTATGACAGGGAGTAACATGAATGAAAGAGCAGGCGGGGGGAGGTGGGTAGAGAGAGAGTATGGGAGGTAGAGGGGAGAGAGAGAGAGAGCACATTCCAGCTGGGTCCAGCGTGACGCGGGATAGTGGAGAGGCAGACGGTGCTGCGGGGTGCAGCAGGGTGTGTCTGTCGCTTGTGAATTCCTGCTGCAGTCTGAGCTGTGAAACTGATACCTGTGAAACCTGGTGAACCCCCCCCCCCCCCCACCACCACAAGACCTTTACCATCCACAAACCTCTGAGACACATCAAGGACTCCACCTTAACGTCATTACACCCTGAAGGTACTGAGCTGTAAAGTTTCCTGTGAGTATCAATGCAAGCCCAAGAGCACAAACACACACACACACACACACAAAAAAACACTGAGTATCTGCTACTCACTTTGCTGAGTGTGATCGTATGTTGCTCCCATATCGTCAGCTCCTCCATGCCTGCTCTCTGCAAGGAAAAAATAAAAGGTTGAGATGTAATATAAAAGGATAATGAGACTCTTTAAACGATAAGTCCTTATTGTAAATAAACTCGGGTGATTACAGCGAGGACAGTTGAGCGCCTCAGCCAAGAGGAGAGAGTGTGTGTGTGCACGACTCAGCCTGATCTCGGCGTGCTCTCACCTGCCTAAATCCTGCCTGACCGGTCTGGAGGAAGGGCTACGTTCTTTAGTCCCTGGGGTGTTGACAACGCGTTTGGTTCAGTGAGTGTTCACAGAGAAAGATGTTGTAAACAGACGAGTGAGGATACTATTTCATTATTTATCAATCACACTGTTACCTGATGAACTCAGCTCAGCCTGATTTAATAAAAGACTGGATCAAAACATCCCAGATCATCATAAAATGAACCAATCATTGCAGGGCCACAAGATAAACACTTCCTCTTAAAGTGACCCCAACACATTGACCGTGCTCTACAAGGTGTGCCTCTCTGTAAACACACCGCCTCCCGGCCCTGCAGGCGGCTGAAACTGTAGATCTTCTGTAGACACTCTGACGGGTTCTTGTTTGTTTGCTCTGTTTGAAAAGGTGTCAACATTTTGAAAAGCATCGGGGAGATTCTGTGAGGATGTTTGAGTCATGTCGGTGAGAGAGGATACCGACTCTCCGTCCTCTTGATGTCATTTCAACTTTCATTTCACACCTTGGTGTTACATCAGCAGGTGACAAAGGGCCATAACTGTCAAGTTAAAATTCCTCTTTAACCCTTTGTCTCCATCTGAAGCAAATATCTAAAAACCAAACATGTAATGCAACAAACCCCAGAGGTGGATTAGCCGCCTCTCATATTTTACATTTTTCAACAAACAAAGCAGACGCTCTTCACGTTGTGTGTTTCAAAGAGTCTCACAGGTAAACTCCTGCACACCGTCTAAACTCAAAAACACACATTTGTTCAGTACGAGATCTTCATCAGGCAAACAAGTTGTTAAAACGGGCGGGGCACCTCAAACAGGAAGTGATAACAGTCAACATTACGTCGACTCTGAATCAACAAAACAAATTAACATCACCAAAACAACAAGCCCAAAGCCTGAAGAGGTGATTTCAGACATTTGTAGTTCAGGGTTAGAGCCCAACCAAGAAATCAGCCAGCCGATATATCAGCCGATATCAGCGTATCCCGTAAATATCTGTATCAGCTCATTTTAAAGCAGATATGCCCAGATATTACTGCATTTATTCACAAGTCAAACATCTAATTTGAGTTTCATTGTATGACACTAGCAGTTCTGTGTCACCAGCAGAGGGCGCTATATGGATTACAACAAACATCATCGCTCTACAGAGTGTGGAACGGTGATGCACGTACATGCTCAGTTACTCTCCAGCAGAGCGGCCATCTTGTCTTCTTTATAAATCTTTTCCACAAGTGTTGGATAACTGAGGGATCATATCATATCTATCTCTGAGGATCAAAGACACATATCTGCCGAGATATCGATATCACATTTTTTCTCTCCCTATTATCGGCTCCAGAAAGCTTGTATCAGTCGAGCCCTAATTCATTCACACACCGCCATCGATGAAACAGGAGCAACTCGGGGTTCTTGCCAAAGGACACATCAGACATGTGTCTGCAGGAGCTGGGGATCGAACCCCCGACCGACTCTACCACTGGGCCACAGCCTGCCCCTAATTACTGTCCTCCCTCTCTCCTTGTTTGGTTTCACCTTTTCCACAATCAAATAAAAACAAAAAGAGAAAACGTTGTCAGAATGCTGAGACCACACAGACCTCGGTATCATCTCAGGCCGTAGTTCAGGTAGTACACTAAAGGTCCCAAAAGGTGAATTATGACCCAAACACTAAATCAGAAACATGACAAACGTGTGGAATCACAGAGGCCGACATATGAACAGACACAAAAAGAACCTGTGACTAGATTATAAAACAGGAACCTGACAATCAGAGAGCAAACTTCATTTGAATAAATCATCATTTGGAGCGTTTGAATCCAGCTTGCCTCCCGCCCCTTTAAGGAGTTTCTCTCAACTCGTCTGCTCAACATATTTGTTTTTTACTTTCTGGGACTTCAGCGGCTCCGTACATGCGGGTCACATGAGAACAAGGAAGTGACACGTCTCTGTTGTGAATGTGAAGTACAGAAACCTTTTACAAGGGGAACTCATGGAGCTCAAACAGCAGCCGGGAGTCCGCCGTGCTGTCACACCAACACAATAATCCACCCACACTCATCACAGAGTCATCACCTTCACCCTGCAGGTGGACTCAACATGGCTGTGATCAGGGGGGTACAGTGTGTGACCTGTGAACAGTGGGCTGTGTACTTGGCTTAATCATCAACCTGAAGCTGGTAAAAAACACAGAAACCGACCTGACAGAGCTGCTGCAGATGTTATCACTGCATGCTGAGCGTATCTTTGAATCAAGGCTGACATTGAGTTCCTGGAGGGGCAGAGAGCCTGAACTGATGGTGGAAGTTTATTAAAAACCTGACGTGCACAGAGCATCACGAGCACGGAAACAAGAAACAAAGATATCTGCTGATAAATCAGATTGTTTTACTCTCCAACATCCATGTTGGTGTCAGCCCCAAAAGTCCCATATCAGTCGGGCCTAATTAACATATCAGACATGTTGCTGCAGGAGCTGATGATCGAACCCCTGACGGACCCTACCACTGAGCCACAGCCCGCCCCCTCTCTCTGTTTAGTATGTCTTAAACTTCAGTTTTTTTCAGAATAAAAGGAAAACAGAAAGAGAGAAACGTTGGTCAGAGTCATGAAACTAATCAGACCTCCACGTTTACACGCCGTCAAATATTAACCCTGGATTTCGGTCACGATGATAACGAGGAAATGACACCAATAAAAAGCTCCTGTTCACCTTCTTTGAGTATCCACAGAAGTTAAACAGAATCCTTTCAGACTTGTTTTCAGTCTATGGAGAATCTCCTGAACGTTTCATCGTTTTTCAACGCAGCGAGCGGATCAGCTGAAACCTGAATGTTTATCACGTTTAAATTGAGGAAGGTGGAGACAGCTGATGATCTGTCATCTGATCTGTTCACTCTTCTACCTGTGCTTACTTTCCTTCATGTTGCCTTAAAGGATTTATTATTGTCTTTATATCTTTAAGTCAGATTCTCTCAGCCTATCACTGCTCTCCATTCCTCTCGCTCCACTTACCACCGGCTCTTTGAACCTTACTTCCATTTTCCCACCGGGACCTGGGAGCAGAACAAAAGCACCTGCGGCCTCCTGTGCTCCGAGAACAACCTGAGCTCAGACGTCCAGACGGCAAAAAAAAAGCTAAAAAAAATAAAAGAATCACTAATCCACAGCGATGATTGTCGTCGTCGTGCGGCACAAACATTAACCTCCAGCTCGGATGACTTGTAATCTGAGAGGCCGCGGAGTTTCCCTCTCGGCAGGGGGAGAAGAAAGAAAACACCCAGAGAGACCTCACCTGAAGGACTCCTCCCCCACTCAGCCTTTGCCCACTCTCTAGTGCCCTTCAATAAACTGGATTGAAGGTGGAGCCTGTAGCAGAGCAGCTTCAGGTCTGACATGTAACAGGGGGGAAAGGAGGTCTACATCCAGGCTGAGGTGATCCACATCAGTCTGTTCAGGATGTACAAAGCATGCATTTAGAGATCACTTCATGAGCCTTTGAAGCAATCTTACAAAGTCCAGATATGAAGAGTACCTGCAGCTCTGAAAGCCAAAACTGAAATAATCACAATTATAGTGTTTAACGTAAAACTACAAACATGGAGGAGCCGACAGCCTAGTGGTTCAAAATCCGACCTGTGACGTCCATTCCTGTATGACCTCTCTCTCTCTCTCTCTCTGTCTGTCCACTGGCCCAAAAATAAACCTTTAAAAGAAAAACTACAAAACAAGCCCCTCCCTTCTGAAGGCACAGCTGCCAGGTGTTGCTGCACATCTGAAGGCAGCTCTCATTCAGAAGCTCCTGTGCATTTTATTTTGAAATATTCTGTGCATCAAACACGAGGAGAAAAAGCACCACGCCACAAGAAACAAAGATGAACATCAACATCTGTCCAGGAGAGACAGAATGATGCTTGGAGGTCTGCACGCTGCTTTACACAGAAAGATCAAAAATGGCATTATTTCATCTTTTGCACACGTTGAAATAAATACTGTTACAGAGTCGTTCTCGTCTCTGCTGTGAACGAGAGGTGAGTTTAAAATAATAAAAGGCTTGTCTCGTGTTGACTCTTGTCCTGAATGAAGGCCGGGTCATTTCATCGACTGAAGGAAATAGAGCAGCCTTTATTTCTCCAAACGTGCAGCTACTGGGAGCTTAGATGTTTTACAGCATGGAGAATAGAATAAAGTATTTAAATATGACATAAATGTTTTAAACCTTCTTTGATTTCATTCAATGATAAATCTCTCTTATCATACTTAATTAATACTGAACCTGAAGGGCCTAAAGGTCGCTGTGACCAGAGGGTAGCGGCGAGCAGAAAGACTTACAGGCACCAGCAACAGCGGGGGAGGAGGCTCCGGGGGCACAGAGCCAAAGTGCTTCAGAAGTTTCATCCGCTGCGTCAGATTCATGATGAAAACACGCCGGTCGTCTCGTCTTTAAAAAACTCACTTCACTTTTTCCCACCACTGATTCACAGACACAGAGCGAGCGCTCCGATGGTTCAGAGCAGGGTGTCACGTGACCTCGGCGTCTGCATTACTGATGCATTAAGAACTTATTAAACTCTAGAAAAGAATCTCTCCGTTACTCCTTCATCCCACAGGTTCATGAAGGCAAACCAGTCCACTTCTCCCACTGTCACTGGTCTGTGTGCGTCCTGTTCCCACACGGCTGTGCTGGCTGGGTTTCAGTCGGCTGGCTGCTATGGTAACCTCAAAGGAATGAGAGCGTCGGGCCGTTAATAATTGACAGGCTGTTTGCTCCGCTGGAAGTTTCCTGGGTTCCTCACCGGGTGCTGCAGTGCTTCAGGAGCATGTACTGGGAATGTGTCTGCACACAGGGCTCCCATTGTGTCTCCTCTTCATGGTTAGCATCTTATTTGTTTAGGTTTGACTGCAGGTCACTGGGACTTGTCTTGAGGCAGGAGTAGAACTGAAGCAGGTGATAAACCAGGTGACACACACCACTATACGAGCGACAGGCTCGGGCTCAGCCAGGTGTAACAGTCGGCTTCTGGTCAGCCAGAGAAGATGAATTATTAAAGAGTCTGAAGAGAGCAGAGGACGTCAAGTGAACCACTATACTGTAGGGCTGGGCAATATATCAAGTTTTTAATATCGATATATTTTCAAAACAAGATATAAGGTAAGACAATATGGTTAACATTGATATAGTTTATGTTGCATTAAAATAACATTATAGAGGTGCCAGGTCACCTTTTTCCTCCTCTCTCTCTCTTTAGTTGTATTTAAGGAACATTTTCATTTTATTATATTACTTTTTAAATTCACAAACAGGTAGTTTATTTTCCATTTGTTTTCACTGTTAATAAAATACATATCTATATATATCGAGTATTGCCATTCAGCTAATCAATATCAAGATAAGAGTTTTGGTCCATATCACCCAGCCCTACTATACTGTTACCAACACAAACACAGGTGTGTCCTTCCAGGTGAGCAGTGCCTCGTTGGTGTGTCATAACTAAGTTCAGCACCAGGTGACCTCTGAGGCTCTCATGTTTCTCATGCAAATGAGCGACTGCAGAGCAGGTGAGTGGAGAGCAAGAGTCAGAGCGGCACTATGAAAACAAACAGCGGTCTACTTTTACAGGGACGCATACCGGGAATTCTTCACATTGTAAATGAACTACTCCAAGAGTAACCGCAGTGAGCTCAGAGTGGACCGCAACACACCGTGGTTAGTGGTTAACTGGCACGTCCCTGATGAAGGAGTGGTTTGAAAGACAAACACTTCAGAGGTTTACACAGTGGATGTACCGACACAGGTCAGGGCTCTGTAGCCTCACGGCGCAGTAGAATTACAACCACTGACATGTACAGTCAACAGTGTTTGAGCACAGGGAAAAAAAGCCACTTCACAACTTCCTGGACTCTCACACGTCCTCATAAAACACAAACAAACCAAACAAAACCATTCAGAGTCATTCACAATGCACAATCAATGAAGACACATGCTGAAGCCCTTTGTGGATCAAAACCACAGTCACATCTGTTCCTGCAGGGGCGCTGGAGTCCCATCGATGGTGGTCTCCATGCTGGAAATGCTGTCTCAGTCTAACTTTCAGTCAAGCTAACGACAGGCTGAGAGCTGGAGCTGAGGCAGGTTTTAAACCTCCTGACAAACTGTTACACCACACCCACCTGTCAATCAGGTCAGCTACACGCCTCTAGTGGACACTCCAGGAACTGCAGGATGTTGAATTCAAACAGAAAGTAAAGTCCAATGGTACAGGATGAACCTCCTGTATCAGGTAGATATGTGTTGATTAGAGGTGAGTGAAGACGCAGCTGTTCGGGAATGCAGTCGAAACTATTGTGACACTTTCTGGCAGGCAGGTAGAAACCTGCATGTGTGGCAGAACCAGTAAGGTGACGATGCGCACACACACACACACACACACACACACACACACACACACACACACACACACACACACACACACACACACACACACACACACACACACACACACACACACACACACACACACACACACACACACACACACACACACACACACACACACACACACACACACACACACACACACTGCCGACATTAGGCCCATAATTAATTATCCACAGCCTAATTAAAATAATTTCAGGCTTTTACTTTGGAAATCTGGTGGCAAGCTAACGGCTAAAGCTAACTCTGTTTCTTTATGAGTAGACGCCCATATTAAAACTAAATGATGAACCTGACTTCCCCTCTGTTATTACCGACACTGTGGACGGAGAGCCTCACCTGAGCTCCACACGACAGATTCTGACAGTAAAAATAAAGCTTACCTGTGAACGTCCTCTCTGTGGGCGGAAGTTATAAATGTCCCTGAAGATTCTCCCAGAGTTTAAAGATTCACACGATGGGTCTTCTTCAAAGCTTCTCTGGTTTGTGCCGACTCTTCCAGAGGTTTGAAACTTTCTCTCAAATCTTCCTGAAAACAGGTGAAGAGGCTTGAGGGGCGTCGACGTACAGGTGAGTATCACGACGTCATCACGCGAGGGAGCGTAAGTGGCAGGACAGGAAGTTAGTGCTGATAGAAAATGAAGAAAAGCCGCCCCCTAGTGTTGGCTGAGGCACATCCTTTATTTTCTATTACATTTATTTGAATTAAACGAAATACGTCACGTGACGTGAGTTTAATTACGTCACAGTCTGAATTAGACTTTATTATTTATTTTAAATGTTTGTTTTACTTTGAAATCTCAGTGGCAGCGCGTTTTTTAGAATTCTTGAGACTGATGTGAAACCAATAAACTTGATTTTCCAGTTTCTTGTCTTAGACTGTAGCTTCTGTGATTGTTGGCTGCCAGGTGAATGTAAATATAAGTAGAGCTGGGCAACCTTTGAACTTTGACCTCTGGAGAGATGTGCAGCTTTTCTACAAAATAAGGCAGAACACTTCTCAAAGACATGTGGAGGAGGTCAGCTGATCTGAGTTAGTGACCAGTGATAGCTTCCTGATTTCAGTTGCATTTTAATTTTACTTTTCTGGATTTTATGAATCTATTTAGAGACAGGAAGTGGATCTTGTCAAAATCAGGGAACGAGAGATAATATGTAAATATTATCAATATAAATATAATAAATATGTTAAAGGACATTAAGACGTCCTGCACTGTGAATATAAAGTCCATGTCTGGTTTATTGTTGCTGTCTTTGTAAAGCTTTTGAAAAATGTTCCATAAATAAAGTAAATAAATATGAATCTATATAAATATGTAAGAAAATACATGTAGAGTTTTCTAGTTAATCCTCATCCATCTAAACTCAGCCCCCAAAATGTCTCTGTTACATCATCTTCAATCTTTAGATTCAGACTGGATCATGTTTCATGTGTTGATGTTTTTAAAACGGTTTCATTTATTCATTCTACAATTTTTTTGTGCCTACATTTCAGTTTTTCTGGTGTTTTGACTGCGACTGCTGTGACGGCATCATTTCCTGCAAAGGGTTAATAAAGTATCCATCCATCATCATGTGTAGCTCAGCGGTAGAGTTGTCGTCTCTCAACCAGATGGATCTCCAGCTGCTGCTGCCACACGTCAGTGTGTCCTCGGGTAAGACACTTAACCCCAAGTCCCTACAGACTGAGCTACTGCTGCCCCAATGTGTATGAATGGATGAGTTAATACTGATGGACTCTTTACTCAGCAGCCTCTACCATCAGTGTGTGAATGTGTATGAATGGATGAGTTAATACTGATGGACTCTTTACACAGCAGCCTCTACCATCAGTGTGTGAATGTGTATGAATGGATGAGTTAATACTGATGGACTCTTTACACAGCAGCCTCTACCATCAGTGTGTGAATGTGTATGAATTGATGAGTTAATACTGATGGACTCTTTACACAGCAGCCTCTACCATCAGTGTGTGAATGTGTATGAATGGATGAGTTAATACTGATGGACTCTTTACACAGCAGCCTCTACCATCAGTGTGTGAATGTGTATGAATGGATGAGTTAATACTGATGGACTCTTTACTCAGCAGCCTCTACCATCAGTGTATGAATGGATGAGTTAATACTGATGGACTCTTTACTCAGCAGCCTCTACCATCAGTGTATGAATGGATGAGTTAATACTGATGGACTCTTTACACAGCAGCCTCTACCATCAGTGTGTGAATGTGTATGAATGGATGAGTTAATACTGATGGACTCTTTACTCAGCAGCCTCTACCATCAGTGTGTGAATGTGTATGAATGGATGAGTTAATACTGATGGACTCTTTACTCAGCAGCCTCTACCATCAGTGTATGAATGGATGAGTTAATACTGATGGACTCTTTACTCAGCAGCCTCTACCATCAGTGTGTGAATGTGTATGAATGGATGAGTTAATACTGATGGACTCTTTACACAGCAGCCTCTACCATCAGTGTGTGAATGTGTATGAATGGATGAGTTAATACTGATGGACTCTTTACACAGCAGCCTCTACCATCAGTGTGTGAATGTGTATGAATTGATGAGTTAATACTGATGGACTCTTTACACAGCAGCCTCTACCATCAGTGTGTGAATGTGTATGAATGGATGAGTTAATACTGATGGACTCTTTACTCAGCAGCCTCTACCATCAGTGTATGAATGGATGAGTTAATACTGATGGACTCTTTACTCAGCAGCCTCTACCATCAGTGTATGAATGGATGAGTTAATACTGATGGACTCTTTACACAGCAGCCTCTACCATCAGTGTGTGAATGTGTATGAATGGATGAGTTAATACTGATGGACTCTTTACTCAGCAGCCTCTACCATCAGTGTGTGAATGTGTATGAATGGATGAGTTAATACTGATGGACTCTTTACTCAGCAGCCTCTACCATCAGTGTATGAATGGATGAGTTAATACTGATGGACTCTTTACTCAGCAGCCTCTACCATCAGTGTGTGAATGTGTATGAATGGATGAGTTAATACTGATGGACTCTTTACACAGCAGCCCCTACCATCAGTGTGTGAATGTGTATGAATGGATGAGTTAATACCTTCCCAACGTTATGTCCCGCCCACTCTCTTGTGATTGGTCCCTGTGTTTAATATGATGCAGTAAACAGTCAGTATTTATATATGTTGTGGGTGAACTTTGTGTGACTCGAGCCGAAACATTTCATCTCTTCATCGTGACGTTTCTGTACATCAATGGTCGATGACGCTGCAGGATGAACAAAAGAGTCCATTTCAGCAACCTTGAAGTTTTTATTTGTTTACAAAGTTAAGATTGCATGTTTCATATAGTCCTTCCTTAAATGAGTAGAAAACCTTTTTTTTTTTTTTTTTTAAGAATTAGTCGAAAGGCACAAATTTTACAATATATACATTTGGATCTAAATTATAAATATATAGAAAACAAAAAAGCACAACCCAGAATAAAAGTGCTGAACACAGTTTCTTGTTTTTGTTGGTTTTTTTTTACAGAAAAAATAGGCTTTGTTTAAAAATACATACAATCAGTAGCATGTTTTTTTGTCTCATTTTTTGTGTTAACAATAAATTATTTGAGTGATACTAACATTGATAACAGAGAATAATGAAAAGGTGGAGAGAGGAGAGAAATGGTTACAGTATACACCGAAAACGACCGACGAAGAAGAAACAACAACCAAAGTCATGACGCCCAATCAGAACCAACGAGGACACAGTCACGTGATCATGCCGTTCTTAGTGCAAACTGAGAAGAAACGAGGAAAAAGGTCGAACTACACCGATAAAAGAAATCAAACAAGCTTCCTAAAGGTCCGAGGGGTCCGAGCTCTGTCCCCCCGTGTTGTGGGGTGACACAGACTGGCGAGTGGGGATGTGCCTGACGTGGAATATTAAAGCGTAAAGAGGGAAGCGAGAAGAAGAATCTGTGTTTGCTGTCAGAGAGCGTTATCCAATGAGGGCGAGGACAGACCCACTGCGCCTGTCAGAATGAACCTTTAGGTGCAAATCAAATTGAGACGTCTGTCGTCACGACAACAGAAAGAATAAAAAGGCGTCCACAGAAACGAGGACGCCGCTTTGATCTTTGCCCTAAGAAGGCATAAAAACATGTTGAATCACGGACGTTCACACACGGACAAACGACGACGCCATCACAGTTAGTCTAAAAACAGAAATACAGCAAGAGTCACAGCACAGAGCAGAGAAAGAAAGAGCACATGTATGGGTTTCCTTTCACCACGGGTACAAGGGGAAGTGATGGCGTTCTGCGTGCACGCCCCCCCCCCACACCTTCCTGAGATTGAGTAAAGTTCGGATATCTTCGGGCCCGCGCGACCTTCGGGGGGTGTCCGTGGATCACTTTGGTTATCTCTCTGCAAACTGAAGGTTCACAAGTCAGAGAGACGAGTGGACAAAAACGCGGCGCAGAGAACACGCCGGGCGCTGCACAGCGGTACGGAACAGTGCAATGTGATTTGGTGGCAGGTTGTAGAATACAATTTGTTTTTTTATAATAATGTTCTTTTGAAAACTAGAAACTTCCCTGACCAAAAACATCTGAACTATTCTAACGAGCAGGATAACATATGTTCAATCTAAATATCCCTTAAATATAAATAACAAGTATTTTCAAAACATCACGACTGCGCGGCGGCGTTCATGGCGCGACGCTTCCTGTACAGATGCACGTTGACTGAAGGACGATGAAGCGCGACAGAGAGCGGGTTCGCACCGTGCACAGGTGGGAACGTAAACAGTACTGATGCATCTTTAAGGATCACAACTCATGTACAATCGGCTTTTTATTGCTTTGTCATCACTTGAACGTGTCCCGGCAGTTTGTGGTCAACCAACACCAGCGCGTACACACACACACACACACACACACACACGTACACGTGTACACACACACACACACACACACACACGTACACACACACACACACACACACACACACACACACACACACACACACACACACACACACACACACACACACACACACACACACACACACACACACACACACACACACACACACACACACACACACACACACACACACACACACACACACACACACACACACACACACACACACGGCGCCCGGCGCTCACAGGTGAACTACCTCACACAGTGAAACGATTACGAGTCTCCATGTTGTTTCTGAAGCTCTGAACGCATCGACGTCTGAGAGGAGAAACAGTGTCTTCTCTCCAGACGTCAGGGTGATTCAAATGTCGACTTTCTTTGTGATTGAAGACCTCAAAGAAATGTTTTCGCTGGTCAAAAATCACACAAAGACAAAAGAAACAACAACAACGCACTCGGAGACTTTCCTGAGAAATTCAAAAATCAAATCAGACCAGGAGTCACATCAATAAAAGTTATCGTCAGCTTTATAAAAAATGAGAGATAAAATATTTGGACACCATTTTTAATCCATGCTGAGCAATAATCCGAGCCATACTCTGAACTGACGGGAAAAGGAGACACACACGCACGCACTTAAACACACACTCACATACAGACACTCAGAAGCTCAGACAGTCAGACGAGGACACACAGGCTGATAGAGGCTTCTTCCTGAAGCACATCAAGAGCATAGTGTGACGACGACCGCCGACCAACTGACCAAGAGACTGACCGAGCGAGTGACCCGACGGAGGGGGGACGAAGAGTTAAATACAAATATACCATATTTAAATTAAAACCAATGCTAAAGAGTACAAATCTATACATTAGGCTACATGGATTCTTAAAGACTGCATTTATAGATTTCTCCAAAAGGCACTGTTTGCAACAGCAGACTTTCTCCCTTCATCCTCACTCTAGTGTTCATACAAGCAGGGAGAGAAACACGAGGGAGCATGAAGAAGAACGCAAGGAAAAACGGAGGCATTTCACGGCTAACCAGCGACAGATCCAATGGGCTTCTCTCTTCTCGACTCTCTGACCAACGCCTTGCATACGGCCTCGTTTTTTTAGTCAAACACGCAACGTCCTGAAGCAAAAAGTAACAGTAAAGCAAAAGTCTACAGATGTGGTTTCAAACTGGTGAAAGGCATTTAGAGCTTCCAGCAGCTTCACCAATCATACCTCGTAAAATCAGCAGCGGAGGGTTTTTATTAAAAGATTTCCCACACCTCGGTGTGATGAGCCGTTTTGTTTTGCGACAGCTCCATAAAATACAGTTCTCACATGGTCTTTGATTTCAAACAGCTGCCTTTCACTGCGGAGGACACACTTTGGTGCAGAGATCGGATATGGAGCCCGCTGTCACCTGAGCGGCCTCGAGCAGGTAAACACTACAGGTGGACAGAGAGAAGGGTGAGCAGACAGGCAGTGACGTGACTATAGGCCCTGAGGGAGGAGGAGGAGGAGGGGGGGGGGGGGGGCAGCAGCAGCTAGGAGACTATCTGCTTTAAATGACTAAACGAGTACGCTGTTCTCAGCTCTCAGTCTTGCGGCCGGTACTTGATGACAGACTTGCGGTCCGGCCCGTTCTGCAGCATGCTGTTCAGAGCCTCGCGGACGTCCAGAGCTGCAGAGCTGCAGTGGCCGTTGGGTATAGAATCCGACTGCGGGTGGAGATAAAGGGAGGAGAAGCGAGAGGAAGAGTTGGAAAACAGAGAGGAGGACGAGGACGGGCTGGAGAAGAGGGACGAGGAGGAGGGTGACGTGGGGAGGAGGCCGGACGCGGGCAGGAGGCCGGCTGAGGCGTGGGGCGCCATGTTGTTGGACACAGAAGAGGTGGAGGAGGAGCATGAGGAGGTAGAGGAGGAAGGGCTGGCTTTCTGTGTGGGCATCTGGGGAGAGATAGGCAGGTCTAGAAAATCTAGATTGAAGTCTTGGTGGTGGTTGTTAGCCAGCAGGTTGTGGTTCTGCTGCGTCGCCTGCAGGTGCTGCTGCTGCTGCAGCAAAAGAGGCGTCTGTATTTGTGCAGTGTGCTGGGCGCTCGATGCAGTGTGAGAGATCAGAGACTCCAGATTAAAGTCATCTCCAAATCCAGCAGAGTGTCCCGTCAGACTGTCCAGATTCAGCCCCCCCTCCGTGGTGTCCGGGGAGGGGGAAGGCGTTGAACACACAGTCAGGTCCAGGATCTCGTCTAGGGGATTCTTGGAGGACACGTTGGGAGGCAGAGTGGTCTGATGGAGTGGAAGAGACGGTTTCTTCAGCTGGGAGAACGAGGGCAGAAAGGCCTGCGGGTAAAACTGGGAGCCGAGGCTGACCATGTTGGGAAGGGGCCCCTGGTGGGTCCTGGAGCTGGTGGACGTTTTGGACCAGTTGTTGTGGGTTCTTTGCTGGGATTGGCTGGGATTTCTCTGTAAGTTCTGCAGGGCTGAGTTCTGGGAGGGCTGCTGTAAGGACTGTTTATGGGCTTGTATTCTCTGCAGCTGCTGAGCGATGTTCCCGGGTTGCGACCTCTGGAGAGCGTTTTGGTTCAGTTTCTGTTTGATCTGATTCTGGGCCAGAGACTGGGCCAGAGACTGGTTGAGCATGGGCTTCGGGTTGAACAGATTTGCGAGGAGGTGTTTGTTGTCCTGCTCCATTTTGCGCATGCGCTCCTCGGCCAGCCGCTGCTCCACGGCCTGCTGCTCTCTCTCCTTCCGTCTCTTCTTCACCTCCTCGTCCATCTGCAGCAGCTCCTCGCGCACGCGGGCAACACAGTTCTCCGGGATCTTGATACCTGGGTGTGATGAGGAACACAACCAAGACACAGTGAGCTTAATATTCAGACTTCACATTCATTAAAACAAAACATCACATGAGCTGATCCCCTGTTACCATAACAACAACCCTGAATACAGCTGGCTGATGACATCATTGTCAACAGTGTAGTGTGAATGGCATTCTGAAAACCAAAAGAGGGGTGTAACTCACCGACTTGCTTGTTATGCTGCTTGGTTTTTAGTCGGACAATCTGCAGGATGCTGGAGCTGGTGATGTCCGACACCACGTCAGAGACGCGCTTCCACACGCGCAGCAGAGCGCCACACAACATGTGGTACTGACGGATGCGCATGCCCTGCAAACACTCCTGGCCTTCCTCGATTTTCTTGCATTTCCCATTCCTGCAGGAAGGAGAAAATATCAAACGTGTCACCCAGCACCAGAAAACAGTATTAACTCATCATTCATACACATTCACACACTGATGGTAGAGGCTGCTGTGTAAAGAGTCCATCAGTATTAACTCATCATTCATACACATTCACACACTGATGGTAGAGGCTGCTGTGTAAAGAGTCCATTAGTATTAACTCATCCATTCATACACATTCACACCCTGATGGTAGAGGCTGCTGAGTAAAGAGTCCATTAGTATTAACTCATCCATTCACACCCGATGGTAGAGGCTGCTGAGTAAAGAGTCCATCAGTATTAACTTATCCATTCATACACATTCACACACCGATGGTAGAGGCTGCTGTGTAAAGAGTGTCACATGTGAGACGTGCCAGTTTATTACTTCATGACTAGTTCTCAGGTGATCTGCAAATCCCTCGAGAATCACAGCTGACCTTAAAACCAGCTTAATAAGCAGCAGCCTGACTGGATGCATTTAGCCGTTAATCCCACAGGCTGCTGTGGATTGGTACTTACCAGTTGGCATGGCTACACTTCTTGAAGGAGAAGGTGAACTGGTTCTCCCAGCTGTCCTTAGCTTCCTCTGGAGTCACCTGGAACAAACAGCAGCTCAATCAGCAGCGTGTCCACAGTTTGATACACAGACGTTACACAGCTGTACAAACACCACCTTCAGGGAAACTCATATCCACTTCACTTTTTCACTCTCTTATTGTCAACATATGTTTGTTTATGTTAGGAAACAGATTCAGCATCATTTATCAAACTCATGCCTTTCAATCATCATGGTTGTTTGTGTTCATGAGTTTAGGATTCTGTTTCACATTGTTCACCTAAGTGTCCTGGCTCAGTACTCTTAAATGACCACAAGGGGGCATCAAGCACCTATGTATGCACCAGACAGCGAGGCCCTGATACCGTCTCACTCGATCAGGAGCCACTTCTCTACACGGGACCTTCTCATTTTTGATAATGTAAAATCATAAACCTGAAAACTTCAAATCTTTGCCCTGGCTTTTAATACAATTTGAGCTTGATATTTTGACATTTTTATTCATGCTCCTATTTATTGTGTTTTTATTGTGTTTCATTCTATATGTTATCTTATTTGTTGTTTTTACTTAGTGTTTTTGTAAAGCACTTTGGTCAATCAAGGTTGTTTTAAATGTGCTATAGAAATAAAGATTGATAAGATGAAAGATGTTTCTCCTGTATTTCCCTTCAGGACTTATCCATTTTGCAGACACAGATGTATTAAAAACGATAATCATCCAGACGTATCCATGGACTGCGTCTCACTGCTCCCTACCTTGCGGTAACGTAGCTGCAGGTTGTCCAGGCTCTCGGGGTGCGTCTGCTTGCCGATGTTGGGCTTGTAGACGATGAGGTTCTTGCCTCGTCCTTGTTCAGCGAGCAGCACACAGGGGTGATTACCTCGCAGCTGAGGAGACGGCACACAGAGAGGGATGATCATTGACCTGTTGTTAAGCTAACAGCTGCTGTCATGGATTTAAACATATTCAGTCCCTCTTCTCTCAGTAACATGGACTCACCTTCAGGGACAGGTAGAAGCCCTCATCAGGACCGCTGAGCTGCAGTGACCTGTTGTAAGCCTCCTCCCAGGGCATGCCTCGGTCCACACTGATCTGCAGGGACACAAAGATTCACAGAGAGTTTAACACTCAGGCACCAGACACTCTAAACCGGTCCTAGCCGCCGCGCAGCATTCTGCTGCCAACTTTGAAATGTCAAATGTAGGATACCCTGCGGAGGGGGGGTTGTGTAGAACAGAGCGCTTTGAGTTGAAGATCGTAACTTTTTAGAAAGGTGCTGTTGACGCTCATTTTAAAATGTAAGATATCCCTGCTACATATCTGTACCCACATCGTCCTCGCTCCCTGACCACACAAAGTCAGAGCACAAACATCCTCTGTTTGGTGCTCAGAGTGAAGTAAACAATCTAAATGATCAAACATGATGTAACATGACTGTTGTCATAGCGACAGGACGCACGTACAGCGCTTTTCTTCTCAGGACACAAACACTTCATGCAAGCACTCCAGAGTGCACAATGACTCGCCCCCCCCACCCTCCACCCCCCCGCGCTCCAGAGTGCAGCGTGGTACTGTGGGAAACACTGACATACATCATGTTTCATGTCTATGAGGTGACTCGTTGACATTTCTTGCATGAGATCATTCCTACCTTGTACAGAACCACCTGTCCATCCTGAGGGTTTCCAACTGTCAAGAAGTTTTCCTGTTTCTCCTCGTAGATCTTATCGTTACCCGGGGCCAGGTCTGTGGAGACACACGACAACAGGAGCTTTTAAAACATGAACCCAGCCAGACCAGCAGAAAGCACTTTGTAAAGCTGACACATTTAAAGATTTTCTGACAGAGAGATAAAGAAACGTTTGTAAATAATCTAAACATGTTTTTATTAAGTTCCTGTTTGGGACTTCAAGACGTTTAAGTCCTGGAGTCCCAAACTGAGGGGGCTGAGTGAGACTGGACCCCCTTACCGAGGATCCCCATGTCGTATTTGCCCTCCTTCTTGTCCTTCTCGATCAGGTAGTCGAAGTTGTCGGTGAAGTACTGGAAGAGAAAGTTCTGCTTGTGGACCTCCAGGCCCAGGATGCGGTTTAAGAACTTGGTGATGCTGCAGTCTGGGAGACAAAAAAAAAAAAGCAGAGTATTGAATGTTTTTATTTTTTATTAGTCAATTTATGGAACATGTTAAGAAAATATAAACATCCTCAGGATCCATAGCAACAAATAAATAACTGAAATAATATAGTTCATGTTCAAAAGGGATAGGAAGAAGTTAAAACTTCTCTGGTCCTACCCCTTCTTATTTTTGTGCTTTATTATTCGCAGAAAAATAACAATGTTTTCATCAATCAGTATATGATGTTGGACTATTTGGCCAAAACAAATTACGTTTTTAGATAACACAAAATAATGGCAAGAGATTCACCAAGACCATCAAATAACCAAATAGAAAAACAGAAAGTCACTGCTCCAGCTCATTCAATATTTGATTCCTGAAGTTTTAGTTTAAATATAGTTTTGCATTTTTTCAGCTCGTCGTCACAGTTGTTCCACAGACTAACAACCTTAGTTGTTATACAGTTAAGTTTTGCATTAGTTCTGATTGGTGGTTAATAATATAGTAAAGCTAATAATAAAGCTCTCTCTAAAGTCTACTAGCTGTACAAAGACCTGCCCCCCCCCCCCCTTGTACCTTTCTCAGTACTGATTCCAAAGCGAGACTCCCGACAGAAGATGCCCACGTTCATCATGCCGTGCTTCATATCTGAAACACAGGGAGAACATTTCACTGTCACACTCTTCCTCTAGTCTGCTGAACAGTTTTCTGATCTGTTACAACAGCTGGAACAAACCTGAGAAGAACAGCGCTTCACCCCCGGGGTAGCCTTTGGGAGGGGGCACCTTGTTCTCTATGTGGCCCAGGATTGCTTTGGTGATCTTATCCAGAGCCTTGGTACCATACTGAAAAGAGAGGGACAGGACGCTTTCAGACAAGAGACCCCCTGAGATGTACTACCGACTCTGAAAGGACAGGACACAGTCTGAAATCTTTAACGTGGCATACCTTGTTCTCAAAGTTGTACTTGCTCAGGTCTCTGGATTCTGTGGCTCTCCGGTCCCCGTGCGTTAGAGCGCCCTGCAAAGTGGATCACACAGAATCATTACTGATATGGACTCCAGCTTTTCGACACTTCGGACTCATCGCTTTCACACCGCAGGTCAGAAATCCTCCTGATCTGAATGTTCACACATGCACTTCACAGCAGGAGACTAATTACTATTTTTAATCTATATTGTGGTTTCTCTTTTTTTTGAACATTTTTATTTTTATTTTTTATTTAAATTGTGCTGTGTTCACTTTTTGCTCTTTGCTGCTGTAACTCTGTAAATTTCCCCGTTGTGGAATAAATAAAGGATTATCTTATCTTATATCAATCAACATTCAGCTGTTTGTGTTCACACATGATGCTCAGCCTCAGAATATCACGAGTTTAGTGTGAAAAACCTTTGGATTCAAGAAGTCTTCTTACTCAGAACTCAAAAAGTAGAGCCCGTTCGATTAATCGACCGGCTGATAATGTTGGTCGATATCAGCATATCAGTGACTATATATAGATTTATAGATTCTAGATTTATTCACCAGTCAAACATCTAATTTGAGTTTCATTGTATTACACTAGCAGTTCTGTGTCACCAGCAGAGGGCGCTATATGGATTACAACAAACATCATCACTCTGCAGAGTGTGGAACGGTGATGCACGTTCATGCTCAGTTACTCTCCAGCGGAGCGGCCATCTTGTCTTCTTTGTAAATCTTTTCCACAAGAGTTTGATAACTGAGGGATCAACACAATAAAAGTGTTTATCTATACATCTCTATCTCTACGGATCCAACATCGACCTAAGAAAGATATCGGCCCTAAATATCAGTATTGGCACCAAAAATCCCATATCAGTCAGGCCCCGAGCAAAAAGTTCATTAAAAACAACAAAAACAAAATTTAACTTTAGCTCCGCCCTCACAGAATGATGCCTTGAGATACCAAAACAAAGCAACGCCTCAGATGAATGTCGTTATGATTGGCTGAGTAGGTTTGTGTGGTGTTGAGTTCAAGCGGGGAGGTACTGAGCAGGACTTCTTATGGATACAGATTCACTGAACACAGGAACGGCTTCCTGGAAGTGCTGTCCCACTGAGTGACCTTTTCCCAAAAAGAGCGGCCGTGCTGTGTCCCTCTGCACTGAGACTAATGAGAGTGATGGAAAATAAACGACTCGACTCATAAATCATCCAGAGGAGCTCCTTGTTCTTTCTGCTTAAAAGACATTTTTCCACAGCTGAGCTGGAGGAGGGAAAGACCCAGAACCCCTCGAGGTTTGGAGGAGACAAATCGATGTTAAGGAGAACAGAGAGGGGGGGGAGATACCCCGGGAAACAGGGAGGACAAGCTGTGAGGGCAAGAGAGGATGCACATGTTTGAGTCCTTGGCAAGCCGCAGCACCAACAATCAATAAACAAAGTACAGATCCCGTCAGTTTACAGAGGAACACTTCACACGTTCACACATTCACTCAGTCTACAGTCCACATCTATGAGACACTTACCAGGCTCTCCAGTCTTTTAGCCACGATGGAGGCAAAACGTCTCTCCCCCGCCAACTCCGAGATGAGGAAGATGTACTCCGGGGCCGTCACCTGATTGGACCGATGGGTGCGACCTGAAGGACGAAAAATGTGACACGTCATAAAACTCAAAGTGGAAGAGATTCAAAGGAGACGGCGGGTGTGTACTTTGTTAAAATCCATCGTTTGCTCCAGGGCACCTCGGCAGTGCTCAGGAAGTGAACTGGCACCTCTCCAGCTACCAGAACAATTTCCAGAACTCGGTCCAAGCAACCCTTGAACAAGCAACCCTCCGGTACCCCAACCTGATTCCCTACAGTCTGAGCTACTGAGAATGTGGGGAAGGCGCTCACGTTCCTGTGCGACCCGGAGCAGCTTATTGGTGGTTTTTATCTGGTCTGGTTGATTACTAATCACTCTGCTGAACCCTGGTGTCTCCCTTTAGGTCCTCGTCTATACCTGAGCTCTTCTGCACGTCTCTGTGTCTTCATGTTTCATATGTACGAGCTGCTCAGACACAACGCTCCCCAGAGGGACTCAAAGTGCTTTCAGAACATTTGTTCTTAAAGGGATACTTCACTCATTTGCATTAATCTTTGTATCATTAGAAACCTGGTAGTATTTTTGAATGGTCGTGCATCCCGCCCTCATTTTCCCCTGAGATGTGAAATCTTTGTATTTCTAAGTCTGACAACAAAAAAAAATCTTCATTTTTGCATCACTGGAAGCTGTTAGCGGTGAGAAACTTCAACGCTAGTTCCTCATATCTTCGACCACTGAAGCTACAGACCAATCACAGATCAGTGGGTGGGAACTAACTCCCAGAATCGAAGCTTAACGTCCGCCATATTGCTTAGAAGCTATGCTAACAGGCTCTATGGAAAGTTGATAATGGTGAAAAAATATAAATATAGCGGTGAGACGGCTGCTGCCGACAGGCCGGTCTTGTGTTTTGGCCGCTGGGACTGCCGGGCGCTGAAGGCACCAACTTCAAAATGTATTTCACATTTCTACGACATATATGATCCAATGTCAAAACAGATTTATGTTTCAACAGGTGAAGCATCCCTTTAACGGTATTCCTTGTGCTCAATATGAGCGACAGATGAAACCCTGGTGACCTTTGAGGCTCTGATTCACACCTGTCCCCCCCTCCACCTGACTTCCTGCTCGTTCCAGGACACTAACGTTAGCGAGCTGACGGAGTCTCGACTCCCCTCGTTGTGAGAGAACAGACGTACCAAACTGCTGAATGGCTCGGTCTGCGCTCCATGGCAGCTCCAAGGTCATGTGGACCCGTCGTCTCTGGTTCTTCACCCGTTTGTCCGCCTGCAGGGAGATCCCCGAGCTGGCTGCCTCCGAGATGATGGCCACGAACTGGAGCGGAGAGGTTAGGGAGTGTTAGTGGACATGGCAACAGAGTTAAAGAAGCAAAAATATGGATCTGATCTGAGTGTCGGGACCTTTTCTGCGCCCATGAAGCGATCTTTCTCCTTGATGTTGATGTGGTCGATGGTGAGACCCTGCTCGGCGCGGGACTCGTATCGGACGCTGCCGTCAGGGCGCCGCACCACACGCCCCTTACGACCAGTCATCTGCAAAAAAAAAAACCCAACATTCATCACGTTGTATCACTTTAAAGCAGAACACTGTTTGACCTCAGATATCTCACTGCTTGGTTTTGTCTTAGCCCTGTACCTCGGAGACTTTGTCTGGTCCTCCGAACTTATCAATGAGCTCGTCCAGGGTGTTAAGAGGTAGTTCTTTTCCCAGCACGGCGATTTTGTTGAGGAGGCCCTGCTTCATCTCTTCTATCCTGGCTGTGAACAGGAAGAAGAGGGAATAGTGACTGTTTGACCTTCAAATAACAAGAAACAGAAGTTACAGGGTCGCTGAGCGGAAGCTTGTCTTTCTAGTCGGTTTGATTAAAAGTCACATATGATGTAAAATCCACTTCCCCATGTTCCTCTAACTCTAACATGTGTCTCTAGTCTGTCTACAAACCCCCCAATGATGAGAAAAGTCCATCCTCTCCGTCTTTTGCCTGCTCCACTTTTCAGAAAATGTGTGCTCAAACAGGCCGTTTGGAGATTTTCCCTTCATGACATCACAAAGGGCAGTAGCCCCTCCCCCAGGTGGGTGTCACTTCCACAGCTAGGTGTTTGTTCTGCCTTCTGAGTCTGCCTTCTCACCATAAACAATAGGACATGGAGCGAGAAAGACCGAGACACCCAAGTCCTTCCAGAGAGGGGGCGTGGTCAGACACAGCTCATTTACATATTTAAAGGTACAGACACAGAAACAGCCTGTTCTGAGCAGGGCTAAAATATAAATAATTATAGACATGATCAAATACAGGATCAGAGTGGATTTAGAACAAGAAACTTCACACACATGTTTTGAGGAGCTCTGAGACTTATTTAAACTGGTTGAAGAGGAGGAGGATATGTCACCTTTAAAGTCCGAACTTAGCTGGAAATCATGAAACATCACGTAACGTCATTTATCGCTCCCAAAAGACGACATAAACCTACCCGTCTGGCAGCTAGTGTGGTTCACAAAGATGACATCATCGTTGTCCAGCAGGGAGTCTGGGGAGGAGTTGGAGTCTGTGTCCATGCCATCGGAGTCACTACTGCTGTCATCGCTGATGTTGATCACGCCGCCGCTGTCCACGGTGTGCTTTGGGACCTTCGTCTGGCGACCTCTTGGCTTCCCTGATTGTGAGCCAAAAAAAAAAAAGACTTTAGAAACAAGAAAGGTACGGCTCAGGAGCACTTTGCACGTTATTGCACACTCAAAGAAAACAACCCAACACAACTGCAAGTACTGCTATTTGAAAAATATGAGCAGACATCCCGCTCCCGTTACTGTTGAATGAGACTTCAGGGTAAACAACAGGCACGCTGCAACATCCACATCACCTTTGAACTCACGTTTTCTCTTGTTACTCGGCGCCTTCTCTCTCCTCTGTTTCTCTGATGGGAAATGTTTTGTAACAAGCGACTGAAAAACTCCCCTAAACAAAAGAGAGAGAGAGAGAAAAAAACATCTTTAAATCTGACAGTAAAGCAACAAAGACGACATGGAGCAGTGGATGTAACATCATCTATACATTCCTGATTTTGACATTATAACCGTCATGTGCTGACAGGCAGCTGAACATGTGCGTTCTTTTCTTTTTTTTTTTTTTAAACTGTGGTACGATACAGTAAACAATACAATACAATAAACAAACAAACAAAACAAAAGGAAAAGGGTCGGTAAATAAAATGAATGAATTAGAAAGTATAAGTAAATGAGCAAACAGGACAAAGAAAAACATGGGGGCAGTATAGTAACAAAATGATGTCAAATAAAACTGGTGGGATAGGTTGTACACATGGTGAGGATTTTTGGTGTTATTTGTTTGTTTTTGTTTTTCACTTTGTATGCGTGCTAACATGATCGCCAAATACAGACTGTTTGTAAATGATATTCAAATTGTTGTGCTAATTTCCTCTTTCCTCCTTGTGTGTGTTCACACATTTGAAAATTTAAAAAAAATCAGAAAATCGAAAAAGTACCAAGTACTTTGAGTTTTCTGTTGTATCTTTCATCACTACACTGATTTACACATTTTAAATGTGACTCAATCTGCATGTTCTGAATACTTTTTATTTTATTAAACGTAAAGTTTTGTGAGGATGACTTCTCCTCCTGATTGGCCAATCATTCGTCAGTCTTCAAGACCCGTATAGAAGGTATCAGAGAGCTGTCAATCACTCTGTTCTTTACAGCGCTGTGACCAGTAAAGACACTCTGTCATTTTAGTTTCTACTATTCTAACAACATGTACTCCATGTGTCTTCATTTCAACTCACTCTGCAGCAGAAACAAATCTGTCCAGGTGCCCGTCGTTCTCATCTAGGACTTCTCTGGTGCGAGACTCTCCTGTAGACTGCAGTCCGATGACGATGCACTGTGGAGGAGAGATTCAAACACACGTCAGCGACCACACAGGCCTGAGGTAAACACTCTATCATGGAGTCTGATTCAATAACTCCAGCCCTAAATCAAACACTAAACCAGAGCTCAGAGTTCAAACTGAAGGCTTGTGCTCACCTTTCCAGCTTCCAGTTCTTTTTTGGCCAGCTCCACCAGGCAGCGGACCTTGGCGGCGATGCAGAGGTATTTGAAGAAGCGCTGGTGAGATGACCAGAACTGCCCCCACAGAGACTTCCTGCTGACCAGGCCCAGCTCATCAGCCGCGCGCATGAACACCTGCAACGCCTCCGCCCACTGGATGGACAACATGTTTACAGATCAGTCACATGACTTTATAAAAGCTCACACAGTGATGCACATGAGACGGACCACACTCACCAGTTTGGCAGCTTTGTTGTAGACCAGTTTGAAGTCACTGTCCAGTCCGATCTCCTCGATGTGGAAAGAAACCCCTGAGAAGCTCAGCTGCCTGGCAATGTACATCCCGCTTACTTTCATGTCCATGGCAACGATCTCCATGGCACCCACACCTCTGTTTACAAACAGTTTATAAATTATTCAACAAAACTCGACCAAGGTCCAACCAGACACAACCACAAGCTGATTGGAAGGAATTTTTCCAGTGAGCACAGCGATCTGGAGATCAAATCCACATCACTGAAAGGCACTTGGAAAAAGAAAAACACTCCAGAGTGACGCGCTTCTAACCTTTTCTCGATGGCGTGCAGGAAGTCCTCGAAGGCTCTGAAGGGTGTGCCCTCACCCCAGATTCCCAGGCGGCTCATATAGATCATGTTCTTTGGCTCAGAGGCACCTGGGGGCAGAAGAGAAGGCGAGAATAAATATTTTGAGAGTCCCCGTTTCCCAGAGCGTAACTCACTCAGTCACTCTGAGTCTGTGTGTTTGTTTGTCGGCCTACCTGTGGCACTGGCGTAAACCACTCTGGCCCGTGGCAGCTTGTTTTGCAGGTCGAGCACCGCCTTGCCCATCTTTGTAGAAGTAGCATTCTTGGCTTTGTGGCATTCATCGAAAATAATCTGAAGTGGGGAAAGGTCAAGGGGGAATAACCGCAGACACTGACAGCCAACTTCTGAAAAAATCTGAAATTATAAACTGGATGTATGTGTGTTTGTGTGTGTGTGTGTGTGTGTGTGTATCCATTAAAAAAACACAAGTGAAAGGATACGACGCCGTCAAAGTCGGGCTTGCACCAATCGAGTATCTGTTTTATTCTGGTCCGGTGCTGCCCTCCTGCCTGGCTCTCTCCAATCAGCGCGGAGTAAGTTGCAAACAGGACTCCTTCTGAGGTAGCTGTGTCTCCATACTTAATCTGAAACAGAGGGGATATACATACATACATATACAATATATAAAAATAACGGGGGTATTCTTGTGGGAACAGTGACTCTCTCACTCCCACAGTCACAGGAGGAAATGAAAACTTTTTGACTCCATCTGGACTCACCTTGTTTAAGGCATGCACAGGAATATTCAGTGCATCTATGTCTTTGAGATCTCTCTCTGCATCAAATTTCAGGTCATTGGATATGCTGAACCTGAGGGCAGGAACAGGAAACACACAGTCAGTCAGAAGGTTCCTGCATAACCAAGCGTGTACATGCTCAACATATCCTGGCATGCAACAGGATCCAAAACAAAACAGAAATGATTGAAAACCCAATGACAGAACAGTCTGGTTCTAATACTCTATCATCTCTCTTACCACAGTGATTTCTTCCTCCCCTTCAGGTAGTTCTCCAGGATGATTCCCGCCACAGTGCGTCCCTTTCCGACCCCCGCCCCGTCTCCGATCAGGAAGCCCGCCCTCTGGTTGTTCTGAAGGATGACCTCGTGTTGCTGAGGGGGAGCACGGGGGGAAAGAAAAAGGCATGAACAAAGACGCCCTGCGTGTTTCAACAGAACTCGTCCACAGAGCTCTCTGCGTCCTGTGTGTGTGTGTGTGTGTGAGCTGGTGAGCGTTACCTGGCAGGCGTAGATGATGGCCTCCAGCTGCAGAGCAGACAGGTGGCCACAGTTAATGGTCGACTCGGGGATAGACAAGGTGTAGGTGATGTCTGGAGGAGGGACACTGGAGAGCGTGTTTGTCTCCACCACTATGTCAGGATGAGAGATTCCTATTGTGGCTGAGGAGAGGAAAAGAACAACATGTGAATACATCCTTTCATATCAGGGAGATGAATGTTAGTGAGTGTTGAGTCTGAGTAGCCTACATTTGGAAGGTCTGTACTCGGCATATGTGTCTACATGTCCCAGTTCTTCTGTCTCCTCTTCCTCGGCATCCTCTTCCTCCTCTGCCGGTGGCGGCGGCGGCGGCGGCTGGGTATTCTGAACCTGAAAGCATCAAAGACACTTCACTGTGCTGTTCACTTTAAAAAATGAGCTCATTGAGAAGTCAGCGGGGTTAGAGACGAGGCAGGAGTGAGTGAGAAGCAGGCGAGCAGTTAGTCCGACTGTTAGCACCAATAGAGTTCCTTGTTATGAAATGGTAACCAGTTAATCAGTTCAATTATAAAAGAGGAGTGAATCAAAGCAGCCGATGCAAAAAGTCATTAAGTTAGTGCTCCAGTTAATCAGACAAAGTCATGGAAACATGATCTGAGGGTATCACAGCCAGTAAGTGTTCTGATAACTGTCCAATGAGACGATGCAGCAATGTGAAGCAATGTTTTCATCATCTGAGCTAATACCACAGACTGTATATTCAAATGGACGGGCAACAGCTGAATATGAGTGAAGCCAAAATAAGTAGCGGTCCCCCTGCTGACAGACTGCAGGTCATAAACCCTGCCCCCTTCATGATAACAGTCAAGTTAAAATAGAAAGACGGAGTCTGTATAAAAAGTTTTAATCCAGGTGATCGTGTCTCGGAGCAGTTTTGTCTTCAGTAATTATTTGATGTATAGAAAAATGGATGTAACATCGTGATCGACAAGTGGTGACATTTTCTGGTTGGTTAAACGGAAATTTAAACTCAAGACAAGTCTGATTGGAAGAAAACAATCGAGCTGAATGTGGCTAATGTTAGCCATGCTAGCACAACCAGCCATTTGGTCCTCTCTGCACCCTAACATCTCCACGCCTGTCTTACGTATATATTTGGTCCAGTCTTCCAGTTTGAACTCACAGCCTACTAACAGTTTAGACCCTTTTTGTATTTCTAGATCATAATACTGTCAAACAATGCTGCTACTACGAGATGCTAACTGTTCACTGTGCTCGTTTACATCAGAGCGAGGAGAGCTACAGTGAGACGATGGCTGGACCGACTTATAAAAACATTACTGTTTGTTAAACGACTTGTAATTCTGGAGTCGACGAGCGAGGGTGATGACATTAACCTTGTAGTCGACTAAACGTGCAAATTCCAAAATGACGGATGCAGCTCCCTGTGGCATTCTGGACCACGTTAGTTGTTCTGTCTTCAGGCCGTACCAACCCGTGGATTCTTTGTTTTTTTACATAATAATCTGAACGTGTGCTTCGGTTGGCATGTTGCCGTCAATTGCGTAGTTCCACCAGCACAACACATTAGCGCCCACCGGGGATATTTTAGCTTCATTTCATACAACGTAAGGAGGCACTGTCCATATTAATATACGGTCAATAAGCGTTGTTATTTCACTCACCACATACGATCGTGTATGGATTGTAAAGACGAAGCGCTCTACCTGATGTTAGCGGTTATTTTGCTGTGCAAACAATGAAACCTTTGACTCGTGTTGCAAACAACGCAGAGCAGGAAGAGCAGCACTGAAGCCCCGAGTTCTAACAACACGACGTGCTTCACTACCTCTGCTCCACTGGTTAGTGAACTTGTTTTTTTAGAAGATCAGATTTGAAGAATAGGTGTGGCTACCTGGAATCCTCCTAAAGGTGGGGTGCTGATAATAGCAGTTATATCATCCAAACTGGCCAAGCCATGAAACCTGCCGGTGCCATTCAGCTGTCAACAAAACATCAGATGAAAAAACAACAAAGAAAAATGAAAACGGTGCCAAACACATGAGAAAAAGAGAAACAAACATGAGTGATAATCACTGTGTGTGTGTGTGTGTGTGTGTGTGTGTGTGTGTGTGTGTGTGTGTGTGTGTGTGTGTGTGTGTGTGTGTGTGTGTGTGTGTGTGTGTGTGTGTGTGTGTGTGTGTGTGTGTGTGTGTGTGTGTGTGTGTGTTCTCTAGTGTTTTTATGGGCAGGACAGCGTGAGGCCGCTGGACGTCTGATGAACCAGCACTCAACAAAATGCAATCTGTCGTCTGGTGGTGAAAAGCCAGCGACAACAAAAGGCAGATAGAGCCGTGCGTGTCTGGGAAACATGACCGATGAAATGAGGACAGAATGAAAAGTAAAACATCAAAAGCTTTCAGGAGGCGGGAGCAACAGAAAAACTCTGACTCTCATCAGGAAGATATTGCTGGACTCAATACAAACAGAGAACACGGTTTTAAAGCCACTCCGCCCAGATGATATCTCAGAGTCCATGAAGCAGCTTGAAAAGAGAAGATCTTTACTATTCTTAGGCCTTGTGTCCTCCTGCCGTTATTTCAGGGCAGTAAAGCGCTGGCTGTGCACGCTGGGGCGTTTGCATGAAGCACTGAAAAGAAAAGAAAAGCGCTGCACGTCCGTCCTGTCTCCATGACAACAGTCTGTTGATAACGGCCGCTGTATGACAGACACTTGCTCCGTTACTTATTACTGCGTTGCGCCATTTTTCCGGGCTGCCGTCTGTGGCTGCAAACGCTCTCTACTCATTAGGGAAACTCTTTTAAAAAGATGCTGCCGTTTAGAAAAAAAAAACACAAAGTGGAAACGGGGCCTAAGATCCATCCGGAAGAGCTAAGACACTTTCAAGTTAGCGAGCGTCACTTTTATACAAACTGACTTCACAAGAAGTCGTTGGCTAATTTTTTATGTTGGAATAAAATTATCACAGTAGAAACAAAGATTGAGCGTTGGAGGTTTTGGCTTTTTCTGTCTCCCAGTTACAGCAGAACTGATGCTAACAGAGCATGCTAACAGAGCATGCTAACAGAGCACGATAATGTCCGCATGTCTGTCTGGTCCCGACCTGCTGCACACATGTAAGTGATGAGTGATGAAACAGTTCTAAGATGTGTGTGTGTGTGTGTGTGTGTGTGTGTGTGTGTGTGTGTGTGTGTGTGTGTGTGTGTGTGCTTCACTGACCTCTAGCTGGCTGTGTGCTGGTGTGGTGGTGGTGGTACTAGTGTTGACGTCCCAGAGGGTGGGCAGTGGCACTGAGTCCAGGTTGTCTGTGCTGATGAAGGACTGGGCATCAGCATACTCTGACAGGGAGTCAGCCGGAGACGAGAACAGAGAGTTTGTGGAGAGGTCATCAATGCAGGACAGGTCCTGAAGGTGGAGGAAGACAGGAGGCGATAAGATCACACATATGGAGAAATATTAACGCTGTGCAGCTTAAACAGAAACAGTACCAACACATGCATCTACAAGCCTCATGTCATAGAAAGGAAGCACAGAGGAGGATGGGAATAAAGCACAGACGATAAAGGTTTGAGTCAACGCTGCGCTCTTACACACGTAGCCCAAACAAAAATCTAATCACACACAGATGTGTGAGGCAACAAGAAATATAAAAAGCATGGGGCATTCATAATGAGAGTACTTGTGTGTGTGTGTGGTGTGTGTGTGTGGTGTGTGTGTGTGTGTGTGTGTGTGTTGTGTGTGTGTCATTTCAAGCATGGCTGCCTTCCAGTCGCTCCTCTATTCATATCCTTTCCGAGCCATTAGCATGCCATGCTCTTTAACGAACTCTTTTTCTGCTCCTGAATGCTCTGGATTTGTTTGGACCAGAGAAGGTAGGCGCTTTTAAGACACCCCCCCACACGGGCGTTTTGGACGCCCCTCAGTTTGTCAGATATGAGAGCAGTTATCAGGTCAACAGGTGTTGCAGCGATGGAAGCGGTCAAGAGAAGTGGTTCAGATAGAAGTGATTGTACCCGACCTAAAAAGCCTCTGCATGTTTCTAATAAGCTCCACGAGCAGAAACGTGCTCAAACTAGGATCAATATTGGAGATGCTTTTGAAAAATGGAGAGAGGTTAGAACACAGAAAGGTTTACAGACCCATGCAGAGCTGGATAAACACTGAAGCTTCAGAGTCCACCACATGGTGACCTGTGTGAGCATCTACTCTAGAGAGGAGGAGGGGGGGAGAGACAGCTCTCTATAATGTTTAGAATTTAGACTGCAGTACCCATTTTAAACACTAGGGGTCAGAGTTACATACTGCTCCTCTTAGTTGTAAATATAAAAAATGTTTATAAGGAAGCATTTGTTGAATGTGACTTTTACACAAAGAGAGAAACACGATCACTTGCTGAGAATCTGTGCTGACCTCGGCCATCACTTCCTGTTTGCCATTACTCAAGAGTTCTGCTGAAAATGTTTGGGAGGCGTGAGAAGACAAACGTAGAGCTCTGAGTGTTAATATGACTACATCATGTGGGAATGGAGCTCAGAGCGGCTTGTAAACAGCAGGCGGACACACATACATGACGTGTGTGTGTTTCTGCTTTCTGACGTCACAGAAACAACTTGCTGACCCGAACGTGTCCATGTTAATCAAAGTGTGCCTGCAGTTATATCATAATGCCTCTTCCTCTCTCCTTCTCCCTTTGTGTGTGTGTGTTTCCTAAAGGGCATGATCAGGCATGATCTCTAAAAGCAGCCCTCCCTCCACAGTGAATGTGCCCTGCAGACAGCTGAGTGGAACAACTGTCGGCCTTTTCTGGGGCGACAGCGTGCTAAAAATGTCTCCCAGACCTTACAAACATTCTTCCTCGTTACCTTTCTCCATTTTTTTTTTCTTCTTTCTTATCATCCTGTTGGCTATGTGTCTAAACTATGTCCTCTCATTCTATCTCAACTCCCTCCCCCCCTCCCGTCTTGGCTCTTCTGGCTGAGGATAGACGGGTGAACAACAAAGCTGGGAATCAGGGCGCCGTGTCACCAGAGGCATCATCACACACACACACACACACACACACACACACACACACACACACACACACACACACACCACACACACACACACACACACACACACACACACACACACACACACCACACACACACAACACACACACACACACACACACACACACACACACACACCACACACACACACACACACACACACACACACACTCGTATCTTCTTATTAGAAGACAGGACGAGCACACAGTCAATTCAAAAAACTTTATTTGTCCCCAGGGGGCAAAGGCACACAGAGCAGTAAATTAACAACAGTGCAAGTAAACAAAACATTTTAACCTAAATAGAAAGTGTCAATTAAATACAACTTAAAGCTTAAACATAACTTAAAAATACAAAATATAAAAGAGTAGACATGACAGATGTAACCAGAACTATGTGCAGTAAATGAGAAATAAATATGTATATACAGAGCTATGTGCAAGTAGGCAAGACTAAATGATAAGTTATTAAGGTGCATGGTGAATAATGGAACAACAGAACTAATATATACAATATAACTGTAAAGTAAAAATGAGATAAATAAAGTGACCGTAGCTGTAAAATGAAATGATGATGATTTCCACCATGTTTTTCTTTCCTTGCAGTTTAGCAAATCCCAAAAATTAGATCTAATGAGTCGGAAGATTTCTCTCGCTCACATTTACACTTTGAGTTTAAAGTCCTTATAAAACTCTTGAAGTCTAAACGATGTGTTGTGATGCATTAGAGGTCAGGTCCTAACAGAAGTTGTCTCCTGGAGCTTCTTTAAAACAATGCATCCATTCAAGCCTCAAACGCCGCTGACCTCCAGGTCGTCGCTCTGTGTTGTGCTACTTTGTGACTTCCAGGTTTCTCAGATCTTGCTGTGTCGCAGTGTTGTTATGAAGAATCAAGAGAAGAGTGCAGCAGGTTGGGCAGAGCTAACCAGGATGTGGTGAACCTCAGCACCATGCTAATGGGGTTGTTAAGCAAAGCGTAACAGAGGCAGCAGTGTTTGTCCCCCTGCAGGCCTGATACCCGGGCCCCGGTTCATCCACTGTTCTTAAGAACGAGCTCCTGCCAGGGGGAGATAAGGGCTCCAATTCAAACTGCTCTGATGGCAATCACAGCGCAGCCGCAGACGTGACTCTATTTCTACACTGCACAGTGAACATAGAGAGAGACAGAACGTCTTTTTAGCTGAAATTCTGGAGGTCTTCCTTTTTAAAAGTGGGACTCTTGCGACACGTGTGTGTGTGTGTGTGTGTGTGTGTGTGTGTGTGTGTGTGTTTACATGTACACACAGAGCAACATGTGAAGGCCTCCAGCTCCTTTCATGATTTGCTCTGCATGTGAAACACAGAATATCCTCCTCAGATGAAAACCTTAACAACCCTGCACTTAAATGGAACCGCTCAGGGTGCACACACAAGCAGACCCATGAACTGTACATCACGGGGCCGCCTCAGCGTCTAACTGTTCAGTGGGGAGATCATGACAGGTTTGTGCGTAAGCTGCAGAGCAACTTCATGCTTGTGGTTTAAAGTCGGTGGTTCTCAGCTCAAAGTTTCTAAACTTTAACGCCCACGAGCAGCTTGTCCTCATCATGGAGTGGAGTTCATGTATTTACAGTGAGATGACTTATCTGACGCTGACACACAATATTACACTCCTTATGCTAACGCCACCATCCATCACCATGACAACTAATAACAGAAATATTATCATTACGCAACGAATGAAAATGCATCTTTAAGATCTATCAGATAAGAGCATATTTTATTTTATTTTTTTTTTATTTTTTTTATGTACTTTGTGCATTTTAACCCCTGTTCCTCTCACATTATGAAGAGTCAAACTGTGACAGTTTTCATCACCTTCTTTCGACACCTTCTTATTGAATCCTCGATCAAACCACGGGCTGAAAATCACATTTTTCAACAAAAAAACTATGAAAGAGAATATTCTGAGTCTGCATTTAATTTGTGGTAGAGATCATATAAAGAGTTTTTCAGTGAGAAAACACTAGGTAGTGTTTAGAGTCCGAGGTCCCATCCTGTTGAACTCACTGACCCTCCGGAGGTCCCGGGCAGGCGGGGCACAGGGCTTTCCCCTCCTACACACTGACAGATCGGCTGCTTTTCCCCCCCGGCCAGGAAACAAGTCACCCTGCAAGCCCCCTTACCCTACACACCCCCGCATGTACACAAACACACACCTTAGATGACCTCACCGTCTCAGTGGTACATATCTGTCATCATCCCCACTTTCATAATCTCCACTCTCCTCGCTGCACCTTCACTCACCTATTGTTGATCAATCAGAGCCGGGTGCTGCTCTGAATCCTGCAGCAGCAGGGACAGGACTTCACTCACTCACATACTGTAGAGGTTCATGAGGACAAGGTGGAATTACAAACACGATAGGGACCGACTGTTGAATGTTTGGAATTAGATATCTATGGGTGCTAACTGTAAAGCCCAGTCTATACTACTTAAGAATCAAGCTCTGCATGTGCCACTTCTCCCCCACCAGGTCAGCTTTCTCTACGCTATTCTCACTGGCTTTGAATCCAGCTGGAGCCTGAACATGTTGCTGTCACACTGAGAGAGGACTCAGAGAATACCTGTTTGTATCTGAGGTGCAGAGAGACAATGCAACCTAATATAAACCTTTAAATGAGCCAGGAAGTGTGTGTGTGTGTGTGTGTGTGTGTGTGTGTGTGTGTGTGTGTGTGTGTGTGTGTGTGTGTGTGTGTGTGTGTGTGTGTGTGTGTGTGTGTGTGTGTGTGTGTGTGTGTGTGTGTGTGTGTGTGTGTGTGTGTGTGTGTGTGATCAACCACCCCATGCTTATGATCAGCTGACATAAACAGAAGCAGCAACGTGGCGTCCACATGAACCCTCACTTCACTGTTGAGTTGAGACGTCCGTCCAGACGCCGCTCAAGCTAGCTCCAAGTATAAAAACAAGGCGCCGTCTAGTGACGTCACTCCCATAGTTACTTAGCAACACATTATGTCTTAAAGGTACAGTCCCACAATTTCAAGTTGGCCTTTGGCCAAAACAACACTGAAACACGTTGGAAGTCCGTCACAGACAACTCAAAGTCTCCAGTACAGAACAAACGGCTGCTCCTGACCACAGGAGCTCCACTTTGGGATTCCGCCAAACCAGAACTGATTTTATAAAGATCATCAGTTTTCTGCTGAAAGTCTCGAGCTTTGTTCCAGAGAATCGCGTCCACACTTAAATGTAACCTGGAGGGGATGTTCTCAGAAATCAGAAGGAAGATGATCTGTATTTACATTCTCACAGCCGTTGAGTCATATAACATATTTTGCTAAGCTCGCCCAGCCCACAGGCAGCAAAGTGCAGC